AAGTCCATAACTACTTCCTCCTTCTATAGCTCGCATTCTTTCTTCTAAAACTTCTAATTTCCCCATAGATTGGAGAATTCCAATTGAAGAGTTATTCAAGGTTTCATGAGCAATTCCTTGATGGAAATGTTGCACTGCATGTAAAGGATTGGAGTGTTGTGGTTCTTGATTCCCATCTGAAGTAAAGGGAAATACTTGAGGTTGGGATACATTTTGTGAGTTTGAAACAGGTGGAACCAATGATGTACTACCAACAGGAAAAGATAGTTGTGTTTGTGGGTTCTCAAAGGCATTTGGGTGAGGACCTTGTGATTGAGCAGGGTTTGGGATAAGGGTTGGTGTGTTACCATTTGGAGGGTTAGTGGCTTGTAGTAGTACAAATCCTGGAGGTAGGCCGAATAGAGGGAATGATTGTACATGTACTTCTTGTGGATTGGTGTTTGGTGGTTGTACAGGATTGTTTGGGTATATTGTAAGTGGCATTAGTACTCCTTCAGTGTTGGGATTTTGGGGGTGCATGGCAATTGGGGGAAAGCCTGGTGGGTGAGATGGTGTGGCTGGTTGTTCTTCATTCACTGCTGAAGGGTTCCCATCTGTGTTCTTCTTTTCTAGCGATTGTAGCATTTCCATCATTTTTGCTATCTGTGCTTTCAAATTATTCACATCTTCTCTCAGCTCACCTTGTTCTAGTTCATCCATGATCTTAGCTTGAGCACGAGTCCTATAAGGGTGCCGTGGAAACAATTTTGCTTTCTTGTGGATTATTTTCTCTTAACTGACAAAAAATAAGATATGAGTATGTAATGCTAAAATAAATATGCATGTTATGGAATCTGAAAATATAATGTTGTGCAAATGGTATGGAATTATTGATGAATATGCATGATTACATCCAAATGTTGTAACATGAAAAAGAGAGAAAGAGATAGAAGGAAAACGCATGGTCTTCTATTGTCTTTGAAAGATTTAACATTAGAATCTTATAGCAAGAAGTCTTGATCATGTTAGAAATTCGCAAATTGGCAAGCGGTTAGTCGCACATCTAAGGGAGCATATACTCCTCAATAGATTGTACTCTGAGGCGATCATTCACTAGCAGTACAATAATGTAGCATTTCATTCAATGTAATTCTCAAAACATGGTTCAAGTTTCGATACATGATAGAAATGATTACATCGAATATCCCAAAAATTCAGACAACTTTGGAGGTAGTTGCAGCCAAGGATTCATGCTTATATGATCATCCATCTTGTCATAATGATCGACAAATTCAGTAGCATTTTGTTGTAATACGTTAAACATCATTACAACTCTATCCTTCCATACATTTCTTGTGAAATCTGAATGGGCTTCTTGGGTCATTTGTTGAGTGATCTCATTCAAATCCCCCAATTGATTAAGGATTATATTGATCTTTATAGGTCTCTTTGAATGACTTACACTGCTAGATTTCTTCTCAAGGCTGGATCTTGTCATTTCTTGCTATGAGTAAAAATGCTAAATCTTTCCTCCACAACAGTTGAGCTTTCCTTCAGATGAGGGAGACAAAATGTCAAAACGCGCAAATGCATGCTTTGTTTCTCTTTTTTTTCTTTTGTTTCAATTCTTTTTTATCTTTTTCTTTTTCTCACCCTTTTTACGATTTTTTTATTTTTACATAAAGGAAATTAATAGAAAATAACGAAAAGAAACTTGCTCCCATTGACCTAAAAAAATGGAACCCTATGATCAGATATCCTATGATGGGGACTCTAAAACAGTAGGTCACTAGGTCTGCTCTATAAGTGCATATCTTGGGTTGATCTAGACTTTTGAAGACTATGGTTCCCGAGTTGCCCATACCTGATGGATATGGACCTAGCCTATGGAACTGATCGCAAGTAAGGATAAACCTTCTCAATACGATTTTTCCATACTGCCGGTAACAACCCGAGTGGTGAACCAACAAGTGTCAGGGAGGCACCAGGCCTCTTCAATGACAATGTCGAGACACCCCTATTCCTTAAGTTTACAGATGAGTCCGGCTATAGAACCCAAAAGTGTGTGCAATGAGTGATAGTGATGTGTGTGCAAGGAGCATACTAGCCTGTACATTTGAAAATAACTAAAATTCCCAAGCTGCAAAACAAAGACAAAGCACAATATATACAGAGGTCGTCTACCCTAAGGTTAAAACCAAACAAGATACATATTTATTATTGCAATTATAAATATACCAGCAACATATGACAAACATAGATGTATATACATAATGCTCAATAACAATATTTACACAAAAGGTAGAAAAAAAAAATAAAGCAACAAAAAGAGGGTGAAACAGATAAATAAAATCATGAATAATTTGCACAATTAATAAATAGGCTTGACTCTCTAAATTTCCCCAATGGAGTCGCCAGCTGTCGCGACCGGATCGCGACGTGACGGCGAGAGATTGAACGATTTAAAAAAACAATGGAGTCGCCACCAAGGTTTATTTGGAAAAACATTGGAAAAACCCTTTTGTTTGAGAAAACTGGTCTTTGAAAATAGAATTGGATTCGGGAGTCGATTACGAGTAGGGAAGGTATTAGCACCCTACACCGTCCGTTTAAAAAAAACAGTTACCTTGTATTAATTGTACAAATTATTTATAAGATTTTAAATATTTATTTCACCCCGAAGAATTGAACTACATTGATTAGAGAAAACAAAAATAAATTTTCAAAAATTAGTTTTCTTTTCTTTAATCAATGTAGTTCAATTCTTTGGGGTGAAATAAATGTTTAAAATCTTATCAATAATTTGCACAATTAATATAAGGTAACTGTTTTTTTAAACGGACGGTGTAGGGTGCTAATACCTTCCCTACTCGTAATCGACTCTGAATCCAATTCTGTTTTCAAAGACCAATTTTCACAAACAAAAGGGTTTTTCCAATGTTTTCCTAAATAAACCTTGTAGCGACTCCATTATTTTTAATCGTTCAATCTCTCGCCGCCACGTCGCGATCCAGTCGAGACATCTATTAATCCAAACTTAATCTTAGGATATTAAACTTATGAGTCAATCTTTCTACTAATATAATTATCATTTGATCTATTCTTTATGAATATAGAACTTATTATTCATATTTAAATTTTTAATAAAAATATTCAAATTGATTCGTGCGAATATACCTTGATTGTTAAGTGATTCTTTTTAGGGTATTATTTTCTTTATGTCACATAAGAAAGATTTTATCTCCTACTCTTACTTCAATTTCCGTATTCTGTTTTTTTTTCCTTTTTTTAAAAATAAAATGGGTCCCACCATTTATTATGAGAGTAAGATAGAAGATTTATCTTATGTGACATAAGAAAAATAAATCTCTTCTTTTTATTTCATAAATGTGTTTTTGACAACATTTGTTATAATATTTCTTAACTTTTTTGTTTATTAAGAAAAGGAAAAAAGGTATAATGAAATGAATATTTATCTTACTTTATTATTAAAGAAAGGTATTGTTAGAATAATAGTATGATAAAAGACTAAAAGTTATACATAAATTATTTGTTGTTTTATAGTGCTATTTTGATAATGAGAAAACAAACCAAAGCTAGCGAGTGTGCAAGAATCCAAAGGAGAGCAGCTAAGAACACCATGCTAATTGGGGATTTTTTAAAATGCTCCGCACCAAATGAAACAGCCATCATTTTGCCTCCCTATATAACATAGGGTTAACCTGCTCTACCATGGAATATCTTCTCTGTCAATGTTTTGTTGTTGACATGACTGACACTAGTTTTTCTCTTTCTTTCTTTTTTTAATTTTTTTAATTTTTTTTTATTATTAAGGATGTTATTATTTACTTGTACCGATATTTTAAAAAATTTGATGTACGAGGATCTGAATCCTCTAATGTGAAAAATCATATGACCATGTCATATGAAATCATAACCATACAAAGGTAGATCAATGGTAATAAAAGAAGAGAGAGAAAATATATTAAAATAGGTAGTTACAAAATCATAACCGTTGATTTACTTTTATATAGTTGTGATCTTCTCACATGACCATGTCATGTTTTTTTTCACATTAGAGAATCCATTTCCGATGTATCATTTCTAACACTTTTCGATATTCCCTGATATTTCGAACTTTCCGATTCTTCAACACGCATTGCAGAGACTCAAAAATGGTTCAAAAATTGCATTACATTCCAACTATTAGATACATTGAATTACGATTATTATTTTATTGAGTTTAATATAAATATTTGTGATATTTTATGTTACTTTTCAAAATTGATGCGTATTATAAATTTAACTTAATTTTTTAAATTATTGAATAATAAATCTAATATACATTACATAAATTAAAAATTATTATTTAATATAAAAAAATTGATAAACTTATTTTGTTTTTTTGTTTTTTTCTGGTACAAGAGTGTCCAAGTCCAACCTCAATTAATAATTTAAAGGTAAGTTAAAGCAGGTTCTAGTGCCATCAAAGTTATCTTATCTTCTTCGCCGTTTTTAAAGACAATTATTAAGGATTTAACAATAAAAATGATAAATAACTTCTCTTAATTTCTAATGTATTAAATATTGTACATTTTATTAAGTATTATTTATTCTTTACGGTAATAATTTTTTCATGTAGTAGGAGAGAATTATTATCTTTTATAAACTCATTTATGCAAGTGGAATCCACTTTTAAGAGAAGAGAAAAAATAAAGATCCATCTTGTATTTATGTGTATAAGACATAAATTTTTGTTTATGCAATATAACTATTCTTTATTTTTTAATTTCTCTAACAAATTTAGACAAGAGAACCATTATTTTAAGGGTTTATCATCTATCATTTAACATGACCACAAAAAGTTTCCTACACACAATATTCTGTGGGGCCTGCAACAAAAAAAAAAATTTCAACACGCAAAACGAATTTCTATAATATAACACAGTCACTTTTTCTATAAGATAATTCTTATATAACCTTTATTTTAATACACTGGATTGGGGTGCCAAAAGATAACGTAATGGCAACATGAATAAAAAAAACAAACACTAATAAGAGAGAAAGGATAGCCATGGCGATTTGCAGGTTGAGATCTCTGCTTTCTCTTTGGAAATGCAACTCTCTGTTAGTCTCTTCTTCATCTCAATCCTTCCAAATTCGCACTTTCTCTTCGTCCCTTGTTCCCACTCATCACTTGCAGGTCTCTAATCACTATCTCGCCATTAACTTCTCTTACTTGGGTCTACATGCCTTAACTAACATACTCTTTTTTTGAACCTTTCTTCTTATCCCTTAAAACATGGAAAGCCTGCATCTTTCATGCTACTTCTTAACTGGGTAGTTGACATAACTACTTATAGGCTTCATCATATTACTGAATTGTGATGCTTTTTTTTATTGGGTGTCTTTCTTTGTGTTTATCTCAAAGTGGATATATGATTTTCTTGTGAAGCCTTTCAGGTGATTGATTTGTCTGTTGAAAGATCATTAACTGTTTGTTTATAGGTTTCAGCTACAATTTTTGTCATGTTAGCATGTCCCCTGTACGCATGTTTAATTTGATGCTTGTTTTGTAACTATATACTTTCTCCTCACTGATGCACTACAGAGTGTTGGATTCATTGGGCTTGGAAATATGGGATCCCGAATGGCAAATAATCTGATTAAAGCTGGATTCAGACTTACAGTTCATGACCTGTAATGTTTTAAACCTTTTGTTGATCTTATCATGCCTTTTATTTCTTTAATTCTTAACTTAATCTCTGTGAGAATACATTATTCTCATTTCATTTGTAGTTGCAATTCATAGTATATAGATATTTTGGGGAATGGCATGAGAATGTGCTTCATGTGGGGAGTCTAAGTTAATGGCACTGTTAATATAATTGGATTGTTTCAGTTTTGTTAATTTAAGCAGAATGTCAATGATGTTAATTGAATTTGTGAAAAATTGGCAGAAACTCTGACGTTCTGAAGAAGTTCTCTGAGATGGGAGTTCCCACAAAGAAAACACCTTATGAAGTTTCAGAAGCAAGTGATGTTGTAATTACAATGTTACCTTCCTCTGCCCATGTGAGTATGGCCATTTCAATGGCATTTACTTTCCTGCGAATATATTACGTCATTTATAGTTCAAGTTTCCTATATAGTTCTTCAACAACTTATTCTTTGGACTACTTCAATTTTTGGTTAACGAACTAAGATGATAGAGTTTCAAGTTTTGGTTTACTGCTCTCTTTTATAGAAAGGAATGGCTTCTAATTCTGTAAAGTGATGAGACCTGATAATTTTTTCTTGCTTATCAATTCTTCCTATTTACCATAGTGTACTACATTACCTTAACTAACATGGGATTTGTAATTTATATTTGGAGGCATAGAAATGAACTTGTTTATAGTCAACCTTTATGTCAAATTATTCTTGTGTGGTTTGATTATATCCTTTCTGCCATTTATCTTTATGCATATGGTGGCATCTATATTTAAAGCAGGCCCTAAACTATAAACAGTTACTTAGCTAAACAGTTCATGACAGATATGGTAACAGAGCCAATGATTTGGATGGGCTCAGTATTTTGGAGATGGGGGTTGATGCATGGGTTTGTGCCTAACCCATGTTGACATGTTGTGAAGCATTGGCCAAGGGAGGAAATGTTGGAAATTCAATTGTGAGTTATGAAGTTTCACAGTGGCTTAGAATGTGTTAAGTGAGAACCCTATAAGTGAAAAGACCATAAACTCGTTGCCTTAAGATTTTGGGTCAAGATGTGTTGTTAAGCCCATAGGTGGGCCTATGCATTATTCATGCCCAAAGCCCAAAGGGATTTTGCGTGAAGAGGCGTTTTGGAGATGTAATATAAAATTATTCACGTCTCTTCATTTAATAACTTAAACTTTTGGGAGAGTTGGTTCATTACATAGTCAAATAAGTTGTGTACCTAAATATATTGTAAAGAATCTTGGGATACACCACCCCAAAAGCTAGCTCCTCAACACGCTCCCTCACACGAGAGCCCACTGGGCTTGAAGAGTGGACAATGCAACAGGCCCAGCCTACCTGTGCTAAGAAATGCCACAAGAGAAAGTGGGGGGCGGCGAGGCTCTGATACCATGTAAAGAACCTTGGGATACACCACCCCAAAAGCTAGCTCAAAGGGTGGGAGTGCCCAAGGCCTTATAAAGGCCATATTAGTTGTCCATCCAATCAATGTGGGACTATATATCTCAACATATCTATTTAGCATATTACAGGTTTGGATGAATTGTCTTACTGCTCCCAATTTTATTATAATATGACTTTGTTCTGGTGCCATAATAACATCCTTATTTAACTTAAGTAGGTGATTGATGTTTACACTGGACCAAATGGTTTGCTTCATGGTGGAAAACTCATAAGGCCATGGTTATTGATAGATTCGTCCACTATTGATCCACAAACTTCGGGAAACCTTTCTGCTACAATATCTAATTATATTCTAAAAGAAAAGAAAGGTAACATAAGTGAAATGTCATCCAAGTAAACTAGATTTCGACTTGAATTGCCATCTATGAATTCATTTTTCTTTTTAGCACCATTGAGTTTTGTTTATCATATTCATTCATAACTAATATGTTTCTCAAGGGTAATTCCTACACAATTTTATGAGAATGTCTTTTTACTTGTTTATCCATGCAATTCACAAAAAATTGATAGTTTGTATAAAACATGAGGGGAACTTGTATTCTCTTCATGGGATATGTTTAACGACTTCTGTCTCATCAGTGTGTGTGTTCATCAGTACTCCCACACGCAAACCCCTAGTGTCATGTTTATGATTAAAATCACAAAGCAGTCGGTTCTTTAATTTATTTATATAATTATCACCCTTCAAACAATTTATAAAGCTTTTTTGATTTCTTTTATGAAGAAAAGTTCATCAAGCATGTTAGCTAACTGTTTGTTTCTTTTGTCAATCATGTGGAAAATGTTTCTAATGTTATTCCTATTAGTTTCACCCGTCTTTCTCATAAGAATGGATTTGATTTCTCATTGAATTACCGAAGAGCTACTTTCTGTCATTGTATGACATCATGTTCCTTTAGCTTATTAATTAATGTTGACTTCAATAATAGGTCATCATTTTCTCTGGTTAAGGGATGTTTAAAATATAGTTAATTACTACAACCTAACTGGTCCCAAACTGAAAATTGCCCACTATTTTACAAATGCTAATGTTCTACGCTTGTATTCAGTTGTCTGCCATTTATCATAACTAGGTTTGGCATTTTAGTCATTACACATTACTTTGTAACGATTCAAAATTCATATATGGGTGGTCAGTAAAGTCTTCTAAAGTATAAACTGTTTTCTTCTAAATTTTCTTTATGAATGGAAAGAGGGGCAATCATAAAAACCTACCGGTCTGTCAAGTGCTTTCAAGCATTTACTATGTGGAATTATTTACTCTTTTAATGTCGTGATACTGAATGATCAATTGATCATACATTGTGTAGGTGATTGGGAAACGCCTGTCAAGTTGGATGCTCCTGTATCTGGAAGTGTGATTGCGGCAGAAGCTGGGACACTTACTTTTATGGTATTAATACTGTTTTATTCTAACCTACTGAAAAGACACACAAGTTACTGTATGGTAATAATTGTAGGTTCAAAGGCCATGCATTTGATCTTGGAAACCATATGAACCCTGTATAATTTTTCCGATTCTTATTGGGGATGGTAATTTTTAGAGTAAGCTCTCAATTATGTCCTTGAAAGATTTTTGGAACTTAGAAAAATTGTTGACATCAAATCAGCCCTCAAATGATTATTTGTGGTCATTGAATGATATCAATCTGTTCCCAGTTTTGGCTATGATGATGTCAAAAGATTATCACTTGAGGACCAAATTGTTGTAATAATCTCTCAAGGACCGAATTGATGCTCCAAGACTAAAATGGGAGTTCACTATAATTTTAGTATATATTGGTTCTCAATTTGATATTAAATTTTGATATTAATCATTCCACAATATTATTTATAATGCATTAAAAGTATGATCACTTGATCAGTTAATTAACAAAGGGTATATTGTTATGGGCCACACATGGGATGAGGTAACAGTGCTAAAACAGTTACAGCAATGTTGTGGATTTTTGGCAAAAAAATTGAGTAATGAACAAAATATGGAACTTCCCCAGGTTGGTGGCTGTGAGGAAGCATTTCTTGCTGCAAAATCCTTATTCTTTTCAATGGGTAAAAGTACAATATATTGTGGTGGAGCAGGAAGTGGTTCTGTAAGTTACATACTTATAATTAGGGTATGGTTATCAGTACTTCGAATTGCCTATTTAACAGTAAGTCACATACATATATTTTGTTTTATGTTATTAGGCAGCAAAAATCTGCAATAATTTGGCTATGGCTGTGAGCATGCTGGGAGTATCAGAAGCCCTTGCTTTGGGCCAATCTCTTGGTGTTACTGCCAGCACCTTGACAAAAATATTTAACTGCTCCAGTGCTCGCTGTTGGAGTAGGTATGCCGTTCTTTTCTCTCTCAACTCAATATGACAATTAGCTGCAGGACTATGGTGGATCTGTCTGCATCTTTAACAATATGTGGTAACAAAGATTCTTAGAAGCTTTAGAATTAGTATTGTGGCTATAAAGGAACAGGTAGGACAATAGGAATATAGTTTCCCCTAATACAGTAGAAAGTACCCTGAAGTTTGAAAGGTCATAATGTTGAAGCACGTGTGTGACATATTCCAAAGAGTTCTTGGACCATTACTCTTTACTTGTAGTTTTCTCCTTGTTATATATAGTCCCACATTGGTTGTATGTGCAACTAATGTGGAGTTTATAAGGCTTTGGGCACTCCCACCCTTTGAGCTAGCTTTTGGGGTGGTGTATCCCAAGGTTCTTTACATGGTATCAGAGTCTCGCCGTCTCCCACTTTCTCTTGTGGAGTTTCTTAGCACAGGTAGGCTGGGTCTGTTGCATTGTCCACCCTTCAAGCCCAAAGGGCTCTCGTGTGAGGGGGCGAGTTGAGATATATAGTCTCACATTGGTTGTATGTGCAACTAATGTGGAGTTTATAAGGCTTTGGGCACTCCCACCACCCTTTGAGCTAGCTTTTGGAGTGGTGTATCCCAAGGTTCTTTACACATAACAAAAATATAGATCCTTTTTTAGAAACATGCCAACATGTACAGTCTCACATTCAAAAAAGTTTCCATGTTAGCTTAGCTTACAATCTTTAGGGAATTTTTTGAAAAGGGTTAAAGTCAGTATTTAGAGGATAAAACTAATTGGTAGTAGTTGCGTTGACTACAGTGATGCTTACAACCCAGTTCCTGGGCTGATGGAAGGGGTGCCCTCTTCAAGGGATTATGATGGAGGGTTTGCATCCAAGCTTATGGTAAGTAGCTGAGCTTTAACTCAATTTGCACGTGTTCTTTTTAAATTTGGGTGATTGTACCATTTGGAAATCTATTGTAAGAAGAGTCATTACAGTGGAGTGCAACTAAGCCAAATTTTGGCCGACTAATAAATATCAATTTCAGCAGTTTGAGCTTGCAGAGACCTAAAGGGTGCGAGGATACTCGAGCAAGAACAAAAAAAAATGATCAATTTCCATTTACACAAAAAAATTTAGTTGGGAGAATTACAAAATATTCAAATGAGTAACCACTTCTTTAGATAATTAACCAAGGGTTTTTTTTTTAATAAAAGAAAAAATCCCACTGCCTTATTGGTAACCAAATTGACAACTTTTGGTCCGTTGGTCAATCTTTCCACTTAGTGATGATCAAATGAAAATTTCATATCATATCCCAAAACTTGAAGCTGATATGTCTTGGCATATTTAATATGTCCCTTCTTGTTCTGTTTGTACCTCCCAAAACTAATACTGTGCTCACTGAAATTAATGCTCTTGAAAGTGGTAGGTCACTAGCTAGCAATACTTCTAACTGTTTTCATCTTGCTATGTTTGAACTGATTGTTGCATTCCTTGATATATTATGTGATTCTATGTTGGAATTATCCTTTGTGTTGGAGTAATTCATTTCAAATTGGCTAAAGTCATGCTAGTCACATGTTGAATTTCAAAATCAGATTTAATTTGGTACTGCTAATTCTCTTCAACCAAATTCATTCATCTTGATTGAAGAGAAATGATAATTCTCAATATGTAATTATGTCTGCCATTAAGCAGAAGAGGTTGTACTTTGAACTACTTTTTATAGGGCTACAGCCTGGGAACTGCCAGAAATTCTTTACTTTGTGTATGAACTTTTTTTTAAAAGCTTTTGCAATCTCCTATATTAACGTTGTAGAGTCTAATGCTAATTATCTCTTTTGTTTACTATTTTGACTTTTTTCCTAGTGGTCCTTTGAACATCCTATGTATCTTTTTTAGTTTTAGTTTTTGAGACTTAATGTTGTATTCCATTTATACAAAATTATAATAAAAAACTTGCAAAATAGAGTGTAAGGATTTTTTATTTTTTTTATTTTTAAAAAAACTGTTTCTACATTGAATCTGAAGTCTTTGATTAATTTTGTTATTTATTTATTAAGTTGAAGTTTGATAAACAAGTGTGTTTGTTGTTAAAAATAAGACAAATTAATTGTGTGTGTACTACAGGCTAAAGACTTGAACCTAGCCGCAGAATCAGCTAAGCTAGCTGGATGTAAATACCCGCTAACATCGCAAGCACAAAAGATGTAAGTCCCTCTTCTTGCATAACCTAGGCATGTAGTAAGGTACAAGTTTCTTGCTATTAAATCCATTGGGAAAACTGTTTTTCTTCTTATCCTTAATACTAAAAAGTATTATAATATCATTCTGTTGATGAAGCATTAAAGCACACTGTTTTCACTAAAAACTCTTATCCTAAAACAGCAAAATTAAGTGCATATGCAAACAACCTAAGATGTAAGAAATACGAGGGAGAAGGCTTCTTGAGATCTTCTCTAACAACTTGACAAAAAAAAAAAAAAATACCTCTCTTTTTGCTGTTTTATTCCCTAACAATTCCTTATTTATTGTTTATTCTCTACCAATTCCTTTTTTTTTATTTGTTCTTAAATTTTGATTTTCTATGAATTTCCTGTTTTTTAGTGGGAGTATTTTCAAATCTCAAATGAGATTGGATATTATATCTAAACTAATTACCATTAGTAAGCAATTACAATTTGCATCAATTTTCTTAAACACGTTTAAATTTGAAGAAGAAAAAAAGAGAGGCAACAAGCCATTCTCTATTTGATCACAAGATTGTTACATGAGATTCTGTTGTATTTGTTTAGCCCGAATAAGTTCATAAATGTTGACTCTCCGTAACTCATTATGAAGAGTGAAAGCAAAAAGAGGAAATGAATTTTAACAAAGATGACACGTACCCAGCTTCATATATTATATACCATGTGTGTATTTACTAGTTAAACTTGAACTCCGCTCTCGTGTTTTGTAACGGCATGCCAATTCTATTACAGAATATATGTTTCACGTCACATCTTATTAGCAAACTAATACGAAAAATTTCGTTACGTTTGATTTCACTGCCAAGGGTTAACTTAAAAAGTATAATTTAATTTATTTTCTTGTATAGCCAAGAAGGTTAGCAACTTTGATTTGGATGAAACACTTATTTGGCAGTTATATAATTTCCAGTAAGATCTGTATTAATAGCTTTAAACTCCTTTATTTTAAAACAAATGGAACATATTTTCTTTGGCAATGTCTTGCACATAAGTATAAAATTTGGTTGTCCTGAATATATCAAGTATTAGAAGTGTGCTTACTAATGAACTTCGTATTGGGCAGATATACTGAGCTCTGCAGCGGTGGCCATGAAGCCAGAGACTTTTCATGTGCTTTTCGTCATTACTACTCTGGAATGGATGAACCTTTTAACAAGTAAATTAAGACGCCAATATATATAGCAAGACAATGATCCTGTACATAGAATAATTACTTTCCTGTATGGCAAGACGATCAATCGGGCGCCATTATGTTGCAAAAACTTTAATCTTAATTTTGTTTTCAATTACAAGTAACGTTAGATTGGTTTAGATCTCACAATTTCTAAATGCAATTATGAAAGCACGAAGATAAGCACAACTTTTGGACAAAACAGAGTTATTTTGTTTTCAATTATAAATAACTTGAGAATGGACTAGATTACAAGTTTTAAACACAATTATGATAACACTAAGACAAGCACAACTTTCGGTCAAAACTGAATTGCTGGTCTCACTGACAGTTTGGTTATAACCAACGAATTCAATAGACTAATGTATTCAACGGAGAAAACGAGAAAGACAAGAAAACCTTCTCCCCACAAAACACTTTGGCCAACACATCCGGCACACTGACTTTTGCAATGTTGAGCTCCAAACCTCTTCTCAAAAAATAAGTTCCTCGGTTAGTTGGTTCCTTCTGCAAAACACCTTAAATACATTACAAGCAGCATAGAAAAGAATATAAGGAAAATAATTGTTTTTAGAAAAATATAAAAAACTTATTCCAATATCTCTTAAGCTGTGACTGAATATAACCACATTAATTTAAAATAAATTGCCTTGTTGGGCAGAAAGGAAATGTTTATTTAAACCAATCATTTGTTAGCAATAGCAGTGGACATTTTTTTATAGCTAGTTCAGATTAATCTCGCACTAAGGAATTACCTGCCTAAATCATTGACAACTTCTAATGCTTTCCTCCATGTTTAGATTTCGAGGGTATCTTTCCATATGCTTTAAGCCTCATGTGTGACAACTTCAAATTAGCCGCTTGTTGCCTTCTCCTGGCTTTCCTTGATAGATTGTCCGCATTAATATTTGAGTCTTCTGTGCTTGCTTTTTCATTCTCCACAACACTATTTGATGAAGCTAACTTGCCAGAATCAACCCTTGACTTCTTATGTTTCTTCTTATTCAAACTTGCTGCACGAAGGAGCTCCTTAGTCCTCATCTTCAGCGTGTATCTTTTTAGTTTGCTTAGCTTCCATTCCTCCTCCTGGTAAGGAGCAAGCTTTTTCAAAGAAACATATTGATTCAATTCCTTGTCATCCATCAGTATTATCTCTGAGGCACTCATGCCAAATCGGTTTGGCTTTGTTTTGGCATACTTGAATCTTGTCTTCAGGTCCCCAATTGTGTCCTCATAATCTAACTTATAGTAGTCATCCATCAATGTCTGTCTTGCTTTCTCCAAAAGTGCTGTTTTACGCTTCTTCCTCTTCCCACTACCTTCCTCTGGAATTTTATCCTCGTTTTCACTTTCTCTTTCCTGAGCATCATCATCATCATCACTAGTATTCTCAATCTTTTTCTTCAACGCTTTTTCCCTTGCAGCCAAAAACCCACCATCACCATCAGATCCACATGCATCCCAGCCTTTAGGAAGCCCAAGTAGTTCATCCTCCTTTTCAAAATCTGGCTTCTCCATGTCATCATTGTCACTACAAAAATCAGGGTCAGCATCCTCTGCATTATAATACTTATCATCAAATGCCTTCTTCATCATTTTATCATACTCCTCTGGGTCAAATTCCTCTTCTATTTCTGCAGCAGACAATGGAATAATATCATCATCATGGATACCTGCAGTCTTAATTATCTTTTTAACCTTCTCCTGTATCTCCTGCTTCTTCAAATTCTTTAAGTGTTTCAACTCCTCCTCCCTCTCCTTCTGTGCTATTGACATTCTCTCCTCTTTGCTCTTTCTCTGCTCCTTCCTTGCATTCGTCTTTTTCCTCACTGATCCCTCCACTTTCCGAGCATGACCCAACACCCTATCTCCCTGATTTTCCTGAAACCTATACTCATATTCTTCTTGTTTTTCGATCTCCATCTCATCCTCTGAAATCCCTTGCAATTCCTCCTCTCCAACATTCAGATTCTTCCCATTCTTGTCAATCCACATTTTGTTCATGAAATAGCTTTTCAGAAATTTAGAATTTTCATTCAATTCTACATCTCCACCAAAATACTCATCCAGTTTCTCTTCAAATTCCTTGTCACCACTATCTTCTGCTTTGTCCTCACCTGCCTTCTCCTTCAAAGTGAAAAATTCCCCTTCACCATCTTTCAAATCTTCCCTTTCAACTGCTTCCCGAAAAGCCCTTTTCAACTCCTCTTGCTCATCGCCATAAGTCTTCTTCCCATCTTTATTCATAAAATCTGGCCCATCCAAGATCAAATGCTTTGCTGTTTTATCCTTCAAAGCTAATGCCTTCTTACCCTTACTAATTTCTGATTGGCCTTTCTCCTTTTCATTTATTTCCTCCTCTTTATCACCAAAATCTGGTCCCTCCTCAATCAAATGCTTTGCCATCACATCCTTTAGATACATTGGCTTATCATTCTTTCTATCTTTTGATATACTTTTCTCCTTTTCATCACTTTCGTCTTCGCTGTTATGGTCAGACACAAAAAGCTTAACATCTTTTTGCTTAAGAATAGGATCTTGCTTCTTCACCTTAATTAAGGCATCAAAGAATTCCTTGTCACTCCTTCTAGAATTGAAACGTTTCTCATAGTCATCATCATCGTTATCAGATGAATCTGACTCAGATTCTTCATCACCTTCAGAGGACGAAGGTGATGGCGAATCAATAATGCCCTTCTTTTTTAATTCCTCAAAGCGCTGGAGGTCCTCTCGCCGCTTGTTGTGCTCAAACCTACGAGCATATTCCTCATTTATCTTGATTTCTGACTCATTTTCCAAATCACTTCCATCAAAAAGCTGCATAGCCATTTCTTACACCGCAACGAGGATAACTTCTATAAATTAATCCTCTGGAAAGCAGATTCCCTGAAGATATGTGCTGCACATAATCCAATATTTACAAATATTCAACAAGCAATTATTGGGTTAACAAAGGGAATTTAGCAAAATTAAGCATCAAAACTCATCAGGTAGAATAACAACTCTAATCCTCTTATGCAGCGCATTATCTCACGGGTAAAAACAAAAAAAGCAAAAAAAATCTGTTAAGATAGTTGTTTTTCCTTCTTTTTTTGAAGATTAAATACAATTTATTTCTGTTCGATGGATAAGAAATTACATCAAACGCAAAAGATAAGAAGAAATAACAAATACGCTGCTTACAGAACAGAACACACCTGAGTGAAAACAACAAAACAATACATATACATGGTGGCACTAACACAACAAATCCAAACAAGAGGACTTGCAGTTTTATTTATATTTTTCATTTAATTAATGGTTCACCGTCATCAAATCATTTTACTTTTATTCAAACACAACTGACTCTTTATCTATCAATTTTTACAGTAACTCGGCACTTTTTCAGTGCAAGAGGGATAACCCGGATTTTAGCATCTTACATACGTTTATTGAACATGGTAAATCTTTTCTAAAAGCGGGTTTATTGTGAACGATACCTGTTGTATATTCGAAGCTGAGATTTCTATCAAGTCAGAAGATGAGGTAGCCTGCAAAAATTGAAGTTTTAGAAGATTCTCCGCAAGTGAATATGAACTCATAGATTTCAGGGAAAATAGAAAAAGCTTTTATTCCACTATTAGAGTTCACATTACCTACAAGTTAAGGTTAGAGAATGATATTATTGACCACGATGCTAAAATCTCAAAACGCTAACACGAAACACAGAAGAATTGAAGCACATGTTTATCAAAGTAGAAACAGACATACCTCAATGAAGAAGAGACACCAACGGCGAGCATGCGGAGTGCACCAAGAGAGAGAGAAAGAGTGAAAGAGCGAAAACCCTAAAACCGTTAGTTAGTCCCAAAGAGGGAAAAAAACAAAAAACAAAAAAAATATACATATATATATAATATATAAAAAGAGTTTGATGTTTGTCATTTTAAATGATATAAATTATGTCATTTTAAGAGAGAGATAAATAAAGAAAAATGGAAATTGTGAGAGAGAGAAAGTGGGTGATTTTTTTTAATTTATAATTTAAATTTTCTCTCTTACGATGACATAACTTTCTGTCATTTAAAATGACAAAAGTTTTTTTTTTTTTTTTGTCCGTATAAAAATAAAATAAAACAAAACAATTCCCTAATTCGCAAATCTCAAATATCATGTGGGTTAGGATTGGGGCCAATATATGGGTTAGCTAGCCCACAGTTAAATTTATTAATTGTTTCTCAAGAAAAATCTAATTTAATTTCTCTCCAATAAGAACAATTACACACTATTGTCTTTTCTTCCATTTAAAAATTTATGGTATAGTTTTATTTAAAAATAAAATATCTAACCTGCACCTATTAATCTATTTAAGCCTATAAAGTATTCGATAATCATAAAAGAATTAAAAATATTAAATAAAATAAAATTATTTAAACAATTAAATTATTTTATTCATATTAAAATAAATAATACAATAATTCAGTTTTATTCTCTCTAAGATTCTGTTCTATGTAGCTACTTATTAATAACGTTTGTTATTTTAAGCATTTAACCAATGTTTTAATAATTGAAGTGAACATGTTGATTCAACTAGTTTTGTTTCTAATCTTATTATTCATTACTATATTATCCAATTTAATCATTAATTTAACTGGTTAACCAATCGAACCATGCCACAATGACTTATCAGATCTTTGGTTTGATTTTTAAAAACAAAAGACTGTAAACTGCAAATTTTTCAACGTTCAACTAGTTAAATGAACTGGTCCGTGATGCTACTTTACAAAAGACACAAATCATTGTATGCGCATGACATAAAGGAGTTTGTTATTAATCTTTATAAAAAAGCAATTTATGATGTCTTGCTCTTTCGGACTGAAAAATTTTAATATAAATTCAAGCATGTTGCAAATTGCTCGTTGACATGCATCACAAGCAAAGCTTGAATTTAAGAAACCATGGCTTCCACAACCACAACGATTACATGAGAATTGTAACAGCATCATTGTCACATTATCATACTAGAAAAATACTCATTGGTGCCACTCAACTTGCTCACTATTACATGTCTGTAGCAATCAAATAAATCAACCAAAAATAGAACTACTAACCATTACAGGGCAAACTTGTAATGTTGTACAGCCTTCATCTCTAGCACTTGCAAACAAAATCATCATTCATAACACATTCCATCTTAAGATAAAATCAGATGGTGATGGTCACAAGTCATAACCCATCAACTAGTAGCCATGTATATGCTTTTGGCATATGCCCCATTTTTACAGTGAAAAACAATGGTTAATAATACAAACAAGTTAAAAAAGCCAAACTCTGAACAAAAATGGGATAACCAATGAGACATTAGTTCCCATAATATGTCAAAGACTTCAAAGAGTTAGCATGAGCATACTTACTATATAGAAGAAAGATCTTCATATATAGTCTTGATACCAGGCCTCTCAGATACTGATCTAATGCATCGAATTGCTATTCCTAGGACCTCCTTCATTCCCTTTTCTATAACTGAATTACCCATTTCTGGCATCAAGGTAACATCAAAACATTCTGAGCCTCTACCTTCTGCTACCCGCAATCTTACCCAATCTGTAAGATCAACACCTCCCTCCTCACCAGATATCACATCACCAGCACACCTTCCAGTTAAAAGTTCCAAAAGTATCACTCCAAAAGCATAAACATCTGATTTGAAAGAGGGCATTGGCTTCTTGGAAGCAGCTAACTCCGGTGCGCGATAACCTAACACCCCAGCATCAAGAATCTGTTCAATGGTACCGGCCTGAGTCATAAGTCGGTGAAGGCAGTAATCGGCAACACGTGCATTCATATCAGCTGTATCTAACAACACATTTGTAGCTTTGAGGTTCCCATGTGGAACAGCGCGATCAAAATGCAGATAGTTTAGGCCACGTGCTACATCAACTGCTATTTTGAGCCTCTGGGCCCAAGTTAATGGCGGACCTTTTCTTCCTGGACGATCTGAGAGATTTAAGAATGACAAGCAGCATCAATAGATAATTAGATATAATGCTTGAAAATTCAGGAACATTTATTAGTTGCACCAGCCAAAATATATGTATTTGAATTAATGAGCACAGGAGTAGACAGAAGAAACACATATAATGTACTTGTGCTTGAGTGACAATCTGGTGATTATTCTAGCACCCAATGCACAGTTGAAATCATGCAACTACACATTCTTGGCCCCCAGCATGGGACCTAAGGCATTATAATATTCAAGCAATTCCACTTGGTTTAGAAGTAGAGCTTTTGCATTTCACTAGTAGCTGTTACTAAAGAAGCTGCGGTTCCAAGCATTTCAAAAGACCATTTAGATAGGTTAACCATTTGCAAATTATCATGTTCCTGGTCAATTATGTAAGATTTTAACTATTTCAAGTCTATTATCCCCTCCTTTGAATACTCTATATTTTGTTCATAGTTTCTCTCACCTACCTAACACGTCCATTCCTGCAGTGTCTCCCTTTATTTAACTTTCAAATTTAAGAAAGGCAGTCTGGTCACATTAGAAGGAAGGAATGTAAACATATTACCATAAAGAAAACTTGCAAGACTTCCTGGTGATATGTAATCTGAAAGAATAAGCTTCTCGTGCTGCGTAGGACCCCAATAATATCCTCTCAATCCCACGACATTTGGATGCCTGATGTTTGCAAATTTCTTTGTCTCTTTAACAAATTCTTTTCTCTGTTTTGCCACTCCTTCTCTCAACCACTTCACTCTCAACAATAAACCATTCTCCAGAGTTGCCTTGTAAGAAGTACCATGACTACTTCTACCCAATACTTCAGCTGGGGCCCTTGAGAGCTCCTCAGGTGTCAATGTTATTGTGTCATCAAGAAAATGCAGTTCTCCAATCAACCTATCTGGTGATCTTGCGTCTAGTCTTGAGAGATTTTCAGCAGTCAATGATTCACCAGATTCTGGTGACCATGAAAAGTGGCTGTGCTTTGAAGGGGAGAGCCCAGTTACAGCTGCCATTTTTTCATCAGGGCTGATTACTTCTGATGGTGAACCTTTACGTGAGGTCACAAGATCCTCAGCTGATACAACCAAAGCACCACCCCTGTCTGTTGCACGAACAGGACCAGAGATAATTGGCTGAGCACGCCCATGGATATCCTTACTTGTATCATATTCTGGTGGAGATCTTGACATACGTATGTAGTGAATGAAGACAGCCATCAATATTAATATGAAGAGAGCAACCACACATGACACTATAATTATTACTTTAACAATAGTGTTCATAGGCTTCCTCTTGGAATTTTCAGTAAGGGAAGTGGTTGATCCAGGAGGACTGTTAGGAAAATGTAACATAGCATTCCCAGGAAAGAAAGAAGAACTAGGGAACTTCCTAAGAACTTCTGGGACAACTCCAGACAGATCATTTTGTGAAGCATTAAAGTTTTTGAGTCCCTTTGGCATGTTATTTGGAAGAGGACCAGTAAAATGATTCTCTGATATATCCAGATCGTCTAGTGAACTCATATCAGCAATGGTCGTCGGAAGAGAACCAGAAAAATTATTTCCAGCAATATTGAGCACTTTAAGGCCAGTTAATGACCCAAACTTATCAGGAAAATAGCCATTAAGCTGATTGTGAGAAAGATCAAGAATCTGAAGATCAGATTGGCCAGGAGAAGATGATAAATTGATGCTACCAGAAAACATATTATTTTCAAGATGGAGCTCTTGCAATGTGGCCATTGTGAACAGATCAGCTAGAAGTAGTCCATCTAATTGGTTGGAACTAATATCAAGCAATCTAAGCTTTGGATACTGTGTTAGCACTCTTGGGAGGAAGCTGCTAAGAGAATTATGGGATAGATTCAAATAATTTAGTCTCAAAAATTGAGGAGTTACCTCAGGGATGAACCCTGTCAAATGGTTCCCACTGAGATCAAGAAATTCTATATTCCCCCATTTCAACATCCTGGTCAAATTTCCTTCTATTTTGTTATTTGACAGATCAAGTACAGCACAGCTTCCAGTCAGCAGAGGCAGCTCACCAGTGAACCCATTCGACGAGAGATTAAGAAAGTGCAGTGTTGTTGATGTAATTATACCAAGTGACCCTGAAAGACAATTTGAATATTATATGAATAGCAATTTGAATATTAGACAATTTGACTCTCATGCAATATCACAGACGACCAATTCCATTAATAAAATAAGATAGATTCTTTATTTTGAGGAAAAGAAATATTGGAACAGCCTATCTACCTGAGAGATTGTTGGCACTCAAATCAAGTTCAGTTAAAACCAAAGAGTCTCCTTTTAGTAGACCATTAGGAATATATCCTGAAAATTTGTTATTGCTAAGCTTAAGGACCTGAAGATCATAAACAAAATCAAATCCAGGCAATTCTCCAAACAATTGATTGTAGCTGAGGTCCAACACCTTCAAGTTTTCAAAAACAGGTTGCTCGGCTACACTAACCAATGACCCAGTAAGCTGGTTGTGACTTAGATTCAGATACTTAATACTTTCAGATATTCGCGGTAGAAACTTCTGCTGCTGGGAATCAGAACTCAACAGCATGTTCTCACTGAAATCAACATAGCTGGCACTTGATAAAAGCATAAATGTAGCATCTAAATGACCATCAAGCATATTCCCATGTAAGTCAAGTTTTTCAAGAGCAGAGATCTGCTCAAAACCTGGGGGAATTTTTCCAGTGAAGCCATTATGAGACAAGTTTAGAGATGCAAGGGTAGTCAGCTTAGTCAATGATGCTGGAAGTGCTCCGGAAAAGGAGTTGCGGCTCAAGTCCAGAGACTTGATGGAAGCCATTTCTGAAATAGAGTTAGGAATTGGGCCAGAGAAGTTATTTCCAGCCAACGACACATTCTGCAGGCTACCTAAGTTACCAATTCCCAATGGTAAGGATAAGGAAAAGAGGTTATTGGAGATATCCAGGAATTCAAGGCTTTTGAAATCAGCAATGTTATCAGGTAGTTTTCCTGATACGGAATTGTTGGCCATGGAGAGTTTCACAAGTTTTGTGAGGTTTGTAAATACACTTAAGTCAGTGTCGGCAGAGAGACCCAAGTTATCAAGGACAACCCCAGCAACATTACCACCATTACACAGAACTCCATTCCATGAAGATGGGCATCCATCAAAGTCAATGGATTCCTCATTCCAGGAATTGAGGACAAAACCAGTAGGGTCATGTTTGATGCCTTTCTTAAATTCCAGCAATGCTAAAATGTCCTGGGAAGGAAGCTGCCCCACAACAGAGAAGAAAGATAAAGATAACACTAAAAGGTTAAAGAGTTTCATAGTCTTCTATAAACACGGGAATGTTTATTTCTATGCAGTTCACAATCAAGTGAAGACAGGAAGGGAGCTTTCACCCTTCTAGAAAGGAAACTGTCTTTTCAGACCCACCAACAGAGAGTACAAGCTAGATTTTCAAGATAACCTTTCTTGAGTTCTTGTAAAAAGGAAGCACCAACTTAAAATAGAAGAGGGTTGGGTCCTCAAGCACTGCAATCCACACTAAGTAAAGGACCCACTTACAATACAAACCCAGAGAATCCAAGAGCAGTTCTTCAAAACCAACCTTCAGCAAGCAAAGAAAGACAACTCTTATCAGAAATGATAAACCCAGAACAAGATATTAAAAAAAATCAAATGCTTCACAAATTCATCAAATTTACTATGGGAAAACCAGAAGCTACAAGAGATTCCTAGTCTTTCAACAAAATAATTCACAAATGCAGTGCAGCTTTAGTAGAGACATCCATTAACTGCAAAGCATAAATGAATGTACTGAAATGAACCATAAAAACTGAGTTAATTTTGAGAGATCTGAACACATAAAACACAATGTTTCTTACCAAAACCACTTCCTTCAAGCATAGTGTAGACTGTAGCAGAAATCCCTACCCTCAAGCATCATACTGTTGAAGAAGACCTGAGAGCTTAGCACAAAGATAAGAACTTTAAAAAGTCAGAACTGAAATACATAACAGCAACATTGTAGCTACAACCAACTCATGGAGAAAAGGGAAATGAGTACCCAATTTGACATCCATGCAGCAATAAAGGAAAAGGGACCCAGAAAAAAAAAAATTGGTCCTAAAAGCTTTGATTGAAGCGTGGTTTGTCTTTTAAACAACCCAAAAAGAAGTATTAAAATTTCTTATAACAGTAAATAACCCCACTATTTACTTTAATGAGAGTGACAACAAAACCTTAAAAAGAGAGTAGCTTTGTCCCTTTTGGCTCGTGTCTTTTAGTATGCATGTGACAATGGAGGTCCTTAATACAAAACCCTAATTGTTAATTTGTAAAAGTTCTAAAAGATAATTTTTCTTCCATTTCATCCCTTTTGAGATTTTTAAGTGTCTGCTTTCTGCAATGCAATTTGCCATGGAGGCAAAGGAGAAAAATTAAAGCGGGCAAATGTAAAGTTTTAATTTTTATTTTATTTTTTTAATTTTGGGTTTTATAGTTTTACCAGTAAAAGTTAGGGATTTACCCGCCAAAAAAAGGGTAGAGAATCTCACACTTTCCTAGTGGACGTCAAAAGATTTTATCAAATGGGGTTTAAGATTTTGTGTTAAAGAGGTTGGAAGGCGTGTCAACAGTGCCACGTAGGAGTGATGGTGGGCCCACCACTGCCCCTTTGACTAGGGTTTCTTGTTTTGATGACTCTCAATAAAGGCTCACAAGCTCAGAAGAGGTGAAGTTGGTGAAGGAATAATTGAGATAGGTTAATTGGATGAGGCCATGGGCCAGGGTACTATGATACCCCAAAAAAAGGGCCTATAATCTAACTACAACACACACAAATTGTTTTCCACAGATAGCAGTTTCCTATTTTCAGTTATCACATATTTTGGGATTTTTATATTAGATTTTTTTTCTTTCCTAAAATAATGTTATTTTTCACACAAAAAAATCTACATTTCTTGTGTTTATTTTTAAAAAAATTATGTTGGCATGCTTGACTTATAATCTAATAATTATGAAAATTTAGAGGGCAACATGCACAATTGCAGTGTTCTCTTTTGAGCCAAAAGTTTAAGTTGGGAACTCACTAGGTGCATAAAAGATATTTTTTAGAGCTTCTTATCTGATATTCATTTTCCTGTATTTTCATTTATTTATTTTATCTTAATCCTTGTAAGTATTCATAATTCTGAGTTTTACCTTTGCTTTCACTGAAAATTGAAGACTACAGATTGCTAATTTCTATGGATAAACAAGTTTTTTTTTTTTAATCTTTGTAACGGAAAATGGGACATTATCTTCGCCCCATGTGATGGACAGTTCAGATGGGAGACATAAGTCATTTAGTAAACATGTCAGAATAAAATATAACAAGACAAGATTTTATTTTATGTCAACATTTCACTATATAGATTTGTTAAGATAGATTTGTTAAGATAGGGACAAAATATAATATATGAGTTCTGTTTTATGTTGAGTATATTTCAAAGATAAAATAGAATTGGAATAAGTTAAAAAGTAACACATTTTTTTTTTTGGTGTGGAACACATTTTAGTTTTAATGAAAAAGACAAAATTAAGCAGAATGGAACAAAAGATAATCGTTATATTATGTTACATTCATACATCAAATATTACATAATGTATTTTAAAAAGGAAAAACTTCACTTTCATCTCCTATTATTTCATTTAGAAATAGCAAAATGTGTCTAACAATCAGGTTTGTAGTGTGTCATGGTCTTATCCATGAGTGAAACTGTCCGATCTGAATATGACACATTTATTTATAGGTAAAAAATTTAAACTCGAACGCAACCCTTTTATGGGTTGCATGTCAAACATATTGACGCACAAAAATTAGAAGAAAAAAATTTTAATCTAATTGTGTCAAAATCTCCAAATTTTGCGGGTTTACACGGAATGAAAGGGAATGATTAAAATCTTTTAAATGTTACAATTTGAGTAAGCATATATAATATATTACTATTATGTTTTGAAATTATATACTTGTCAATTTATTTAAAAATTGAAGTCTATTAACTTATGTAAAATAAGCTTTCCGTTTAGATTTTGAAGTAATTTTCAACTTCTAAAAAGAATAGACTAAATCTTGAAGAAGAAAAAAAACTTGTGTCAAATAAATGAATTATACTTAATCCTTAATTTTTTTTTAAAAAACAGACCGAGTTTAAACAACATCTGACCAATTTTCACCCATAAACTGAATATGAAAGTTCCACAGTCCGTATTCATCGGCTCTCAACGAATGTAAAACTTTTCTACAGATAGATATAAATTTATGAAATAAATATCACGCTCAATTTCGTCACACGTATTACATAATAATCTAATACTATTTTTTCATTAATTATTTTAGTACAAAGTACAATTTATATTAAGTGCAGAGTCAAAGACACCTAATGTCATAAATATATACACTTCATTATGCATAACTGGTACATCATTTACGTAGGGAACTTTAAATTATAGAGCCATGGTGTACTATATTCTATATTTATCGATCTAGTTGTTGTACCTCCTCATTTACAAAATCAAGCACATTTGTCCTCTATAAAAATGATAATTAAAAAAAAACTACTTTATGCTTCTTATTAAGGTCTGTTTATTTTTTTTTTATAAAAGTGATTTCTTAATTACAATATTTTGTAAAATTAACAATAATTAAATAAATTTATCAAAAAAAGAGTAAAAAATTCAGAAAAAAATTCCTTTAATACTTTTTTTCTCAAATAAAATAAAAATACAACTTAAAAATTATTATAATGGTACTCTAATAATTTTCTCATAATTTGAAGCGCATGTAATACATATAATATTATACAGAAAAAAGTAAGCAGAGTAATATACCATTTCTAGTCATAATTAGATCACATTACAAAATATTCATTCTTCATTATTTCAAGTTTCAGCTCAACTAAAAATCAATTTCAAGGGTACTCTAGTTTTAGTTCTTTACACTGAATGCATTGCCAAAGATATGTAAATCTACCAATAAGTAGTTAACCGCAAAATTTCTAGCTCACATAAAAGTTACATTATCCAACATTAAATTGATTGATCCAGCATGCAGGTAACTCAAATAAGTATCAACTCACCAACATTTTATACTCAACCGCTATAAGATGTAGTGTAACCTGAATAAGTAAATAATTATGAAAATGGTCCAAAAATTACATTTTCAAGCTTTTACAAATTGCCTAGGCGTGCTTATCATGAAACACATACTCCATGCAAATCACTTCTTTCCCCCACCAGAAACGTTAAACTTGAAAAATATAATGTCCCCATCTTGAACCACATAGGTTTTCCCCTCCTGTTTATACTTTCCACCAGCCTAACAGATAATACAACAAAGTAGAATAAATATTTATGTTAGAGAATAATATAAATTATTAAAAAGGCCCTCGTCTAACACCTTAAGATTTTGAGTTGAAATGGTTCTTCACGTGCAACAGTGACAAATTTTCGATATATATAAGTTAAAGCATTTAACGTGAAAAATTATAACTATACAAAAGTGAAAAACATTAAATATGAGAAATCATAATCATACATCTGTCACTGTTGTACGTGAAAAGGCTGTAGAAATGATTTTACCATATATATATATATAACAACTAACGTTGAAGTTATGAACCATCACTAGATTGAACTAGGTAAGAGAAAACAGAGCTTGAGCAGATTTCCTGAATCTCAATTTAGCCACAATTATCCTAAGCCATTAGATTTGAGATGTTATTTCAACTAGTCCAAGTGAGTAAGGATTTTTCCTCACTTTTCCAGCAAATTATTTTTAAAATTATGGGTCATTTTCTTTGTTTCATTACCCAGTTATCAATTTGATGCTGGCCCCCCTTACAAAACATTTTAGGAACCAATAGCAATACAGAAAAAATTACACCTAAAGAATAAGCACATACCTTTACAGCTGACTCACTACCAAGTTCCTTTAGATCATCAAATTTCATCACCTGAAACAACATTTACAATGCGCTCGGATTAGTTGTTGCAAGATTGAACATATTAATATAGAGGTCATTGTAACAGCAAAAACAGATATAGCAAATAAAAATAAATAAATAAATTTCAAGGATCAATTATGATAAGTTAAACTATATAATCAGTGAAGGGAACAAATATATTCTGACATGTAGAATGATAATGCCAAATAAGAGGTCATGAAAATAGCAGGAAGTCAATGTAATCAGTGATCCAGAAACTGCTCAATTTGCAATTTCAAATGAAAGAATTCTGTGGTACCTCTGCCTGGTGAGAAATATTAAAACTGTTGTTAGAATGATTGTTTAAGGAATAATCCAATGGTGAATAGTGTAGATTGTGCCATAGAAACCATCTTTCAAATAGCACAGTTCAATTTGATTCTTATCTTTTAGTAATTCATATTGCAAGGGTGAATCAGCCTTTTGATCAGAATGGTGGAGAAAATATGTTATGCTACATTTGTGATATTCAATCCTGGAATAACGGGATTACTTTTTTTTGTTAAAAAAAGGGGAAAAAAAAATACAAAATATCATTCCTATTCCGAATCTCATTTCACAGATTCATGGAATCCTAATCCTTAAAAAAAAGGTGGGATTGGGATACCATTTTATAATTTATAAAATATTCTATTGATACAAGTTTAAGTTTTTTTATGGGTTTATGGTGGTGTAATTTTCAGTCTTTTCGATATTTGACCTTAGTATAGTATAATTTTCATTTCATATTATCATAGAACTATTGGTTTTTCTATAATACGTTGGATAGTTTTTTAATCCTAATTTTTATTTTAATAGTTTATCAGTATCATAAAGCATATGACCGTACCTATTAACATTAATTTTAAGGAAAAAATCATTAAAAGAAAAAACATGTATTACCAATATTTATTTTATTGAGTTGCTTAAAATTTAATCTTAAATATTGCTTTTAAAAAATAGATATTAGTATTGTATGCATAAAAGGATAGGATAATATGCCTACTTTTTTTCATGCCTACTCTACCTACTCCTTTCCAGTGCCATTAGATCAAAATCTCAAAAGAAGAGAGAAAAGGTAAAGGTTAATTAAAATTTTGATCTAACGATATTAGAAAGAAATAGGTAAAATAGGCATGAAAAAAAGGTAAGTATAATATCTTATCCCATACATAAAATATATCAAAGAAATTATTTTCTCTCATTAGTGGTACTTATGTCATTTAAATCAATTTGGATTCCAATCTATATTATATCCCATACGCAAAACTGCATAGTCACTTTCTGCGCCATTTTTTTCTAATTGTACAACTAAACTATCCTATTTCAATTTACTAATTCTTGTTCCTATTCAATGGAGTTGCTTTCTTTGCACCAAACAAAGTATTAAATGGTACCAATTTGCCAAAAGAAACACGTTTTCATCAATTTGAGTTATTCTAGAATGTGTTATGCAGAATAAATGGTCAGGTAAGGTCCTGCTTAAACTAAAATGGGAAATTGCATTTTTTTTTTTCAACATGCAAAATTGTACAAAGCAACTCTTCTTTCCTTAATTTCTCAAAAAGGACGCAACATCTTAAGAGTTCATAATTTATAATCATACTGGGGTGCAATAGAGCCTCTACAGAAAATTTAACTGCATAATCAATAGTGTCTTATAATCATAATGCTAAACCAATACTAGTAGTTCTATAGGAGGGAGAATATGACTAGTCGTAATAATAAAATGTAGAAAAATATTGAACTAACCTCAGCACAAATAAATCCTTTTTCAAAATCAGTATGGATAGCCCCTGCAGCTTGAGGAGCCTTCGTTTGGCGTCTAATTTGCCAACACTTAACCTGGAAGAAGCAAATTATAATCAAAAAAATTATTAACGAAAGGCAACAAATGCTGTAATGTTACACATGGAAAAATTATAGACAAAATTGTTCATGCGAATCATTGTAGAAGTCCCAACCATAGTTTATCATACACACACAGAAAAGAAACAGCATCCAGACACAAAGGAACCCATGCGGAATGGCAGAATAAAATGGCTGTAAGAAAATTTTTCATTGAAGACAATTAATTACAATTTATTACTGAATTACCAGATAAACTCATGCACTGAATTGGCCAGAGTCTAAAAATACCTACATATGTTCTGAGCCAAAAGTAAAGCAGCATTTAGGGATAATTGTCTTATATAATTTATCAACAAACCAACAACACAGTCTCTAGGCTTTCAACCCAGCATCTTATCCCCCAGCTCACTCTTGGAAGAAGGTTGTTTTTCTCTACACAATCAATTAGGTTATTGCAAATGAATCTTGGTTCAAGGTAAAATCACCTAGTTATGATAGAGATTCTCAGTACTCAATAGTCCTGTGTGAATTGGGATTTTTTCTTACTTATAAACAAGTAAAAAAAAATTATCAGATTTTAATTTCAACTTAACAATAAGTAAATGAGAAACAGGAAACCATCTAGTAGTTTTTTATGGACTGTAAACAAGTGCTTTTATCTCAGGAGACTCAGCCTTAATGGTAGAAGAATTTCAACAAGTTACCCTTGTTGTTGTTCATTTGATTTTAGCGCATGTTTTGCAGTCTGGGCATGGATGATGGAGAAACATACAAGATATACATTGATGCACAAACACCCAACAAAGTTGTTGCATCCAACTGGCCTTAAACCTAATAAGCCCATTGAATCAACCCATGAGTACTACATAACATTTTATTTTTAGCATTAAGTAATAAGTAACTTAAGAAATTTGATGAACTTGATGTCTTGATGTAAGCAAAATAATTGCAGCTTCTGTTAAATAAATGAATGGCTAGGATGCCAAAGCTAATATAAAATTTCATATTCAAAGTCTTTTTCATTTATCATAGCCATATGAACAAAGGCCAGATCTGAAACTCTAGAACTTTTAACCTAGAGTAGAGTAACTTTCTTACAATTTAACTTTCTAATTTTTGTGGTTAAAATATGAATTATTCTACATATTGTCACTTTCTCACTGCATCATTGCTACTTGGCAGCCTTTATCACAGTATTAGTATTTAGGAGTCATTGAAATTATTTATAGATGGTGGTTTTTTAGAGATGCATAATAAAAGGAGATTAATGGCAATTTAGATGAGTTAATGCTACCTTTACACTACTAAGAGTTGGGTACAAAATGTTATATAAATATTATTTATTTGGAAATGGCTAAAACTTCAACAAAGTTTTTCATGAGTAACCCAAAAGGATCATCTAGCCAATGTCACGTGTTCACTAAATGAATTATGAATGAAGTGATAACTGCAAAATGGTCAGGTAGAGATTATTATACTCGTGCTTGTGCATAATATTTGTATAGAAGAGTACTGACAATAGTGTCTAGGAGACGCACTTATAGTATCTCACAATGGTCAGGTAGAGATTATTATGCTTGTGCTTGTGTATAATATTCTCAATAATGGAAAACTACTAAAATTATAATTTGGCAAGGTTATGACAGAAATTCCATCAAGTACATTTATATAAATTCAAATTTTTTTATCAGTGTGAAAGGAGAAATGCAGATATGTTACCTCATCAGGTCCTGCTGTGAAGAAGTAAATGAGATTAATAGCTGAAAATCCAGTCTTTATTATTTTGGGAAGAGCACTGTTGAAATGAAGAATGTAGCAATTTTAGTAGCATAAGAATTACAATTCAACTCTTCAAAATTAATAAGCACAAGAATTATTCAACTAAATTTTGTAATGAAAAAGGAGATAAAACTAAGAGCAAATAACAAAAAAATCAGAATAAGCCGCGGATGTATTTTTCTTAATAGTGATAAAAAGGAGTTTACTCTAAATTTGTTTAAATGAGGACACTGCTGATTCTCACTTCAAAAAGATTCATGGTGTATATGCACAGAAGCTAACATAAAAAGGTATGACTTGGTACCATGTCAAAATGAAAATTATTGGATAGCACTCATATATGTCTTGTATTTTTTGATTTTTATTTTTTTTAAATCACTGGTTATCCACTCAGCACTCTGCTCTCTCAAGTGCACACTAACTTTAGAGGATTTATTTCCCAAATTTCAGTACTTGTTAATGAAGCAATATACCTTAACTAACATTTTTAAAATTATATTCTATAAAAGCAACTTAAATCTTTGAACAGACCTTTGAACATTGTTCTCCTCACAATACTTAGCTGCCTCATCCGGAGGCATATCTGCAAGATTCCTCTCTAAGGCACAGCTGAAAGGAATAATTTGCTCACCACCGTGCTCCTGGACCCTGGAGAACAGAAGCGTCTAATTTTAATTAAATCTCTTTTTCCACATTAACAAACACTGAAGTCTAAACAATGAGAGAATAATATGGAAAAACAAAATCTACAGAACAATAATAAAATAAGGTAAAATAAACAATATTACATAAGAAACAAACAAAATGAGACAAATTAGTTAAGATTTTCTTCTCCTAGTGAAAGGCTAGACTGCTTTCATGGAAAACCAGCATGGAAATAATATTCAAATTTCAAACAGTAACAATGCTATAATCTGCAATATCATTTCAATTTAAAAACTACAAGAATAGATATCCATTGTAATGCAGCCACAGAGTATGGCTAAAAGAAAAGAATAAGTACACAATTAAGAGTGTTCCCTGTGACAGGATTCTTATGGATAGACTCCCAATCTGCACCCTAGTGTGCAGATTCCTGCTTTAAAAGCATGTGTGGGATCAATTCACATCCTAAAAATTCTAGTTCTGTAATCTAGAAGACCAATTTGTTTGCACAAGCTGCTCATGTTATGTGACTCGTGCAAGCTGCTTTACTGATGTTACTCGTGCAGTCTGCATCCAATACATGTCTTCTTTGATTCCACAAAATGCAATTTACTATATTTAAAAAAAAATCATTCAATAAATAAATGATTTTGCTATTAATTTCTTTTATAGAAAACATTATACTGCTTAAAATTTAAGAATTAATAATTTTACAAAAGGATATGCAAGTACTTGTGATTAGTTGCTGATTGATAGGATGTAACTATCTCAATTAAGCCTGTAGGCTGTAGTTACTCACTTAATTTACTGCAAACACTATATAAATAACACCGCTTATGTGAGTAGCAAGGCACACAGTTTCAGTTTAACCTTTCTATTTCTACAAATAGTTTTTATATATAATTTTAAAATAAATTACATAGATGCACTTGAGAAGCACCACCTCTATTCCAATTATAATTGGATGCCTTCACCAATTTGAACTCACACTCACACCCACTTTTCTAATGTGCTCTTGTCACCTAGGGTGTTGCTGACACAAGTCAAAACGAGGAATGGAATGTGAGGAATGGAAATTGACGTATCCTATGTGCATCAATGCATCATGCTATGATCAAGTGTAGATACATTTTAAGTTTTCACCCTTCATTTCCATCCAATCATTTTTACCTTGTCAATTACACCCTTAAGCACACAATGGCATTTTTTGGACGAACTTTGAAAGGAGATCTAAATTAAGTAGCACAAAAATCAGAAATACAGCCACTAGAAGTGTGCAAATATCTTAAATACTTTGCACCCATTTTTAGCATACTTCATACTCATAAAGTGGTAGTCAAGGAATGAGATAAGGCCTAAATGATTCATAGAAGCAAAAAGATTTTAAAAAATAAAATTAAAAACCAAAAGGCAAACATAACAACGTACCATGCATGAATTTTGGGAAGAAACTTGTTCTTTTTTCTTTGGTAATCTTTTTCAGTCATATTAACCTGTGAATGAAACATATGTATCATATAAATAGATCTGAAGAACATAACATTAAAGAACTGTTGAGATATATAGTCTCACATTGGTTGTATGTGCAACTAATGTGGAGTTTATAAGGCCTTGGGCACTCCCACCCTTTGAGCTAGCTTTTGGGGTGGTGTATCCCAAGGTTCTTTACATGGTATCAGAGCCTCGCTGCCCCCCACTTTCTCTTGTGGCGTTTCTTAGCACAGGTAGGGTGGGCCTGTTGCATTGTCCACTTTTCAAGCCCAATGGGCTCTTGTGTGAGGGGACGTGTTGAGATATATAGTCCCACATTGGTTGTATGTGCAACTAATGTGGAGTTTATAAGGCCTTGGGCACTCCCACCCTTTGAGCTAGCTTTTGGGGTGGTGTATCCCAAGGTTCTTTACAAGAACAATATGGACTTCGATTTAACGCCCCATTTTCTAGGGACATACTTTAAGGAAGCACCGATATAGAAAGATATTTTATAGGTATGATACATAACAGATACAATGATAAGGCATCCTCTGAAAAATCAAGAATATGGCATGCCCAGAATAACTAAATTAAATAATAAAAATAAACTTATATATGCATACATGTCTGCATGCAAGAATGTGTGAAATGAGGTTTTCACCTAAAAAAAAAGTTGTGTGTGAAATGTAAATGAAATGACTAGCTCATTACGCAGAGAGTGGGAGAAAGGAAAGAATTACTAAATGAGATATAGTGAGCCACAAAAATCACAAAATCTGATCATACTTGAACCATATTCAAACAGTGTCTAATTGTATGCAAACATATAAAAAATGGAGACACCTCTGACACGTATCTAGACATATTCAAAAGTTGTATAGCAACTAAAGGTATCTTTGATTACCCGAAATAATTTGTAATAAAAAAGTATCAAAAGACAGATTACAGGTTATCTATGCTCATGCGATACACAGATAATCTACTAATTTAATGATTTCTTGATTAAATATTTTTTATTAGTCAAATCACACATGCATGGACATACGGATGGTTTTATAGAATATGGTGCAGAAAGTACAAAAAGAAAAAGTAGGCAGAGTAGAGAAAGGAAGCCCTGATAGGAAAAAAGATCATCAGTTACTAACTTACTATCATGCTTCTATCTTCATGCCCGCTAATATAAACCTCAAATTCATAATTACATTTAAGGAAAACACTGCTAAAAGAATTAACATGAGATGAGGTGTTTTAACTGACATAATATCCAACAAGAATTACAAACTCGTACATAATAAACAATAAGGATTTTGGACCCCAAAGATAAACAAATTTCCTAATCAAAATAAAGAAAGAAAAGTGAGAGATGTTACCAGGTATACAACAGGCTTGGCAGTTAGCAACTGAAAGGAATTTAAAATCTCAATATCAGCAGCTTTCCAATCCCCGAGGCGTACATCTTTTCCTTCCTCAAGCAATGCCTTGACCTGAAGACGTGAAGAATCACAACCATAATTTTCATCTGATACGTATCCAAACATTTTTGTAAGTACAAACTTAAAAATATAAGAGAAAAAGAATGTGCCAGTTAGAGTTAAGTGATAGCATCAAAATTATGTGAGATTACAAGGCATAAGATAAAGACCAACACAGGAACAAAAATTTCCATGATTTGTCATGGGGTAAATAAGTTATCTCCATTGATTAAAACTTCAATTTATCCGCTTACGTTGTTTCATACAGTATGATGAGAATTGCACATAAACATAAGATACCAAGAGATGTTTAATTCCAATCATAGACACCAAATGAAAAATGAAATGAACAGGACGCAACCAGAACACCGAACAAAAATCAAGAAAATCTCAAAACACCTAATTATATTGTTGTCTGATGTGAATATGATGCATCATGCTTTGACTAGTTCCATGAAACCATTTGATGAAAGCCTTTTGATCACAATTACCAGAGAAGCAAAGATACATCTTCTCCTTATCATAAACAAATAAGATTTTACACAGCAAATGCAGCAAAGTATACCGCAAAACTAAATTACAAATCAGGTCTATAGTGCATAACCCTCTCCATGTTTGAGAAATTTGCTACAAGCAACTACTGTTTTTAATGCAATAATGTATTATGGAATCCAAAAGAAAACCACGTCACAGAAAGCACCAATGACATATACTGCCACAAAAAAATAAAAACAAAAACAAATAGACAAGAGATACAAGTAAGAAAATTGTGCCATTTTATTTAAACAAATGCAGTACGTTTTGAGCAAACTGCAAAATATATAAGATATAATATGAAACAAAAGGTGGCAATATCATCATGAAATTAATTAAATGAATCAGATAATAATCAAAAGCTAAAGCCAAACCCTTTGACAACATTCAAGCTCAATTTTCAACTGCTTGTCATTGCTCCTTTTCATGCTCTTCTCAATATCTTCTATCTTTCTTTCCATGAATTCAACATCCTAGAATTCAAAGGTCAAGGCTTAGCAGTTATATTACTGTATATAAACAGCTCTAGTGAACAGGTATAAGCTTTATATTTAGATAATAGAAGAAATTCATTAAGACAAAAACAATAAATTACAATGAAGTTTGGAGAATAAGAGATCGTCCTTAGAGCCAGTTTGGATGGGCTTTTTTTAGCCAAAAGCTGTTTTTTTTTTCAGAAAAAAAAAAACACTTACTACAAAGTCTGTTTGGATGCCTGCTTTTGAAAAAAAGCATAAACCACAAAAAAAGCAGAAGCCAAAAGCTAAATAATTTTTTCAAAATTCAAATATTTTTTTAAAAATCTAAATAGCTCTACCTTTTGTAAAAAGCACTTTTAAAATAAGCAAGGCATAAAAAGCAATTTTTTGAGAAGCCCATACAAACGGGCCCTTAGTGTAAGCAAAAGAAAAACACAAATAGCCAGCAACGAAGATAAAAAAAAAAAACAATGGAGAAAAGCTACCCAATCCCTCCACATATCTGTTAAGAAAACCCGTTAAAAGACGTGTTTTACAACCTATCAGTAAAAATTCATGTTTCCATCAAACAAAAATAAAGTAATTGTTGCTACTTTCTATGATAAAGAAAAGTAGCTAATTATGCATACCTTCAGCCGTAATTCTTCAGTAATAACCTCTAAATCCCTCACTGGGTCAATGGTATCATCCACATGGATAATATCGGGATCCTCAAATGCACCTAACGAACAACGACGGTTATAATAAAACCAAATCGATATTATGCAATGTCATAAATTAATAATGCAGCACTAACAAAAGTGGCATGCAAAGAATATTAAGCATCTTACGTAAAACATGAAAAATGCCATCTACAGCACGGATGTGAGACAAAAAACTATTGCCCAACCCTTGTCCTTCATGAGCACCTCGGACCAATCCAGCTATGTCATGGATTTCTAAGAAAGCAGAGACCTGTATTACAACTTTAACAAACACGTCATGATACAGGAAAGACTGATACATCAGTAACTAAAAAAAACATGTCAGGTGCAATAGATAGAATTAGAAGTTAGTAACAACTTAGAGTGTATGTTAATAGATTAACAAATGATAATTTCAATTGACTTGACCAACAAAGATTCACCAATAATGGTAGTATGCGTTCCATTACATTGCATTACATTACATACCTCACTTTTTGGCTTGTATAATTGGCAAAGCCACTCAAAACGCTCGTCAGGGACATTGACTCGTGCCTCATTAGGCTCAATGGTGCAAAAGGGGAAGTTCTCAGCAGGTATTGCCATCTTGGTAAGAGTATTAAAAAGTGTAGACTTTCCAACATTTGGCAAGCCCACCTGAACAAAGGAGGGACAATAACTAACATGAAAAAATCATAGATTTTATTTTTATTTTTGTGATAAAGAGTTTCATTTCACTAACTAGCTCAATTATTTAAACAAAAAAAACAGTAATTCAATGCTTCCAGCTCAGTTTCAGTTTCTTATCTGACCCTATCATATAAAATCAGCCAGTTGCAAATAGAATAAATCAAACATGAAAACAAAGTTAATAAAAGGAGCACCCATTTTTGTAATTGAAAAAGGGTAGTTGAAAATAGCGTCAAAATTGAAAATTTGAGCATATAGAGAAAGGAATGAAAAGAAAAGAAAAAGCATACAATGCCAATCTTGAGGTGAGAAGAGAATCGACCCATGATGGGTCGTTCCGCTGGAGCTTCCTTCGATTTGGCAGCTTTGGGAGGCATTTTCGGTGGCGAAGGGTTTCGGCTCCGATGAAGAGAAAGAGTGTATCGGAATCTGAAGCTCGTGCCTTTGTCTTGTAGGGTTTTGCTGCTGCTTCACTATTCAGTCATTTTTATTTCCACCCTTTTAAATCATAATAATAGTTGAATCAAAAATTAGGAGAATTTAAGGTTATATGTTTTTTTTTTTAAATCAAGATGAATTAACAATGGGCTTTAAATTTCTACAGGCTGAGAAAAAGTATTTGCATATAAAAAATGGGATCCGCTAATATAAAAAAAAAAAAAACCAGCACACTATATATTAGGGTAGTACATAATATCTTGTATAAAAATATTTCTGTCACAACTGTATAAATATTTTTCTGTTACAATCACATCAGTTCATTTAAAGATGCGAGTAAACTTTTTCCTTTTCATTACATAAGCATTTGAAAACAATAATAAAACGTAATGATAAAAGCTGTAATCGTAACTGAAATCTAAACGCGGAATAATTAAAATAAATTTCTAACTATCATACAATGCTTATCTTAAGTCACTAAGGGATCTCCATAAACCTACTTAGCATAATTATCACTTTTACGATTTTTACATAACTGAACATGGTTCAGTCTTTTGGACATTAAGCAAAATCTGCATGCTACGAACCTATCATATTTTAGTATGTTATTCTAGACTTAATTACTTTTCCAACAAGGTATCACACGCCTCATAAAGTTCTCATTTGCTTCTGTTATCACCGTTTGAAATTGAACAAGCAAAGCTGTCAACCAACCCCAAACAGGACACCAGACATACCTCACCATTTTTGAGATTCTTGACAAACCACTCAACCAATTGCTCTCAAATGTTTATAAAGTAAACTAAACATCTTAAGATTTAATTTGACATATCATGAGCCTAATTTGAGTAAGAATTAAAGGAGAAATAATTTTTGCAAGACAGCAACCCGACAACCCCCATGTGCAAGGCCAATTGGGCAGTCTCCACTCAAACGCGTCTACAGGTTTGTACACAGCTTCAATTGCTACCAAATTTTGACACAACATAGTTGACATCTCAAGCTTCAAAATTATGTATGGCGTGTCCCTTTTGGACCTCTGTGGAGGGAGATATGCTCTCTCAAAGTCATCCTAAAAACTGTCATTTAAATAGAAATTTCGACGACATCTCCTTTATTTATTCAACCTATCTCACTTTATCAAACGTGTGTTATTATGCCTCTAGGGTACCTAGTAGACAAGGGCGGCACTCAAGGACCAGCAATGCCTTGGTGCTCTTACAACCCACAGCAATTTATATCATTTTCCTCAATTTACAATTCAATACTTAACTTTATCAAAACTTAAACTCATTACAATCACATTATCCAATTGCGTGAATTCTTAACAATTTGCATATAAATCATAACCTAGAATAGGCTTATTGCCCTTTCATCACATACATGTTTTAAATATTACGCAAGGTCCATAATTAACAATTTACAATTCTCCCAAATGGTAAGCATAAATACAACAAAATATACCATCAACTAGACTTAGGCAAAATATGGCATGAACAAATATGACAAGATGCATAATCCTAAAGCAATATACAATGTTCATGCCCTAAGTCTAGCCTATGCCAAAAGTGGCCTCAAAATGCAAAAAGTCCTATAACTCCGTAAGCTCATCCTGTGGGCCTCTTGCCCATGGTTCCCGACCCGCTACAACTACCTGAAATACTGCCCCAAACACGGGGTGAGATATACGAATATATCTCAGTAACCCAAAGGTTCTGAAGATCACTCCGCCCAATGGCTCACTCAGATGTAAAATCAACAATGAATCATAACAACCAAAAAGGGATAAAGCAAGGGATTTAGTGAAGTAGAGATGCATAGGTAGAAAACATATGATGAAACTAGAATGGTCATAGCCAAAACCACGCAACATCCGGACTATTGGCCTCGGCATATAACTTACGGGCTCTCATCCAAGAATGTGTTCCCAGAACATCATTCAAGGCACCCACCACCAATACACCTGAGACATTCCTAGAGTGCTCCTCAACGGATAATAGCTCTATGACCCCAGGTCAACTGGAATTTCCTCACGGAGACCTATCAAGTGGAAGTCCGTAACGCCATAAGGCAATCTATCTACTAGCCAGAGATATGATACATCCTATGTACCCAATATATATACTTATGCATGAGCATGTTATAACTACACCATTGACATACAACCTCCGACCATTACCCCAATGGGCATGGTGAAGCACACACGGGGATTAACCCTAGTACCAAAAGATTACCTTATTGAAGCTCCTTAGCTAGGTAGCTCCAATGCAAGTGACACCTAAACTTGATCCAACCATAAATGCCTACACAACAGGTCATTCCCATATCCATTAGAACCACATAAAACGATACACTTGGTTATTCAAGCATTCATGCAATTTGACATAAATACTTACCACAATCCTTTTGGTCAAGGACCAAAGGCAATCCACTAAGCTCAATGCTCAAAGATCACGTCCATGGGAGGCAACTTACAATGATCACACGAGGATCATCAATTCAATTGTAAATCAAGTTGAATTACAAAGTAAACACCCTTACACACCCACACATAGGTTCGGCCATCAAGGCCTTAATTACCAAACCATGTTGTTAATTTTATTTCAAGGTTCCTATGGCTTCCCAAGCTCACCACAACACCAATTCAAGTCTTTAATCCCATTCCATTACAACTAACACCATTTTCCTTAAATTTCCTCCTCTAGGCCGAATTCAAGCACCACACACATCCAATCATTTTTCTTCCAATTCAAATGCATCACACAAACACACAACCTATTTAAACTTAGCTCAAGTCCTCACAACACCAACTTCATGAATTTTACAACATCCTTGCTCATTTTTCCTTATTTGGCCGAATTATACATGCCAAGGTACCAAAAGGTTTTCAATTCAATTTCACACTTCCACACCTCATACAATCCTATAATTAACCAATACAACTACTCCACAACTCAATTACCCAATCACACAACAACCTATATTCACAAAGTCACGCATATCCATCATAAAATTTGCCTAAGTTATCATACTTTTCATCAATAATTTTTATGAGCAAAATTATCATAAAACATCATTCTAAGACACGTTTATCTAATACATATTTTCAATTTGAGGTCCCCAACCATATCAATCCACACACATATGCTTCAGGATTCATAAACTCAATCAACCAAATTATACATTGAAAAGTGTTGAAACTTACCAAGGATTAAGGCCTAAGACTCCTCTAAGTGATATCCAAGCAATGACTTAATCAAACAACCCAAGAACACCAAGTTTCTTCACCAAATTCATGACAATGGGTCCAAGTTTTCTCCCAATCTAGTGAGTTTCAAGGCTTGCCAATGGCTTGGTTGGGTTTGGATGAATATTTCCTTAAACTTTCATGTAGGACACTTTGGTTTTTGGAGAGGATTTGTGTGAGAAATCAAAGTGTGAAATTTTGCTCACAAAGGTGGGGGGCGCGGGTTTGTGGAGAGAGGGAGATGAAGAAGATGGTGAATAGTGCCTATACACGTGTCTTTAATTCACTTAGGGAGCGTTTGGTTTAGGGATTTGTAAGAGATTGATGGGTAATTGATAAATAGGCATATCAGTTAACCATGTTTGCTTCAAGGTTTTTTCACACTTACCCACCTAAGTGAGTTCCCTACATAACCAAGATAACCATGTTTTCTCACCATTTAGCCGGCGAAGTGTATCCCATGGGCAGTGTGGTTTTTATGAAAAGCTGCCTCATTGCTCAGAAAAAATTCTAAACAAAAGACGACACTACCCTTACTTTGCGCGCGAAAGGAAAATGGCAATCATGTCGACTTTGCAGAGTTGTTAGAGTGGCTTATTTTAAAGAGCAACACTTGCACAGAAACATCAAAAGGTTAACATTTGTGCGACTGGACGAGCGAAATATCAAAAGGTTAACACTTCACCCTCCTTGACCAGCTTCTTTTTGAGTCCATTCTTCCCAATCTCCTTCTCCTCCCCAACCTTGAGAATCGGGCTCTCTATCTCATCCTCTTCCATCTTCATGTTACCCTCAGTTGGGAACTCGAAATTCTCCTCCATCGCCACAGATGTCGAAAGAATGCGTATGAAACAACTTCGAATTCAGAACTCAGAAATAACACAGTGAAACCAGATTGGTCATACACCTATAACCGGAAAAAACTTCCACAGGAAGATGGGAATGATTCAAACCAGATTGGAGTCAGGACTCGACTGGTGCCAAAAGATTGGTGGGTTGAAGATTTGTGTGAGCTTGAAGTTGATTTGTACAAGTCTGTAATTTCAAATATTAAAACCAAGGAAGTTCAATCTAATGAAGTAATTTTTATAAGCAAAACAAACCTGATATGGAATAGTATCAAGCACATTAGCGATCCCATGGTTGCATAGCAGAACCCTTGACACAGATCAATTCCATACAGAGATATTTGTAATTATTTTTAGATATGGTCGTTGGGATTTGACAACTCTGTTGTACCATGCCACCGTAAAAAAGATTTAAAATTAGGGTTATTTTTGTAATTTAAGATTGTTTTCCCATCTATATCTTACCTTCAACCAAACATAGATTTCTTAAAAGTTACATAATTTCCCCAGTAAAGTTTTTCCCCACCAAACAACTTTTTTTTACATTTTCCTATCTATCTCACTTTATCTCACTTTCTAACCATTTTCCTATCAATTACATTTCCCTAGTATTCAAAAAATTTCTCATCAACCAAACGCCCCCTTAAGTGGGGTGAATCTCACTGCCACCTCGTACGATTCAAATTAATTCAAATCTCCAGCTTAAACCACTAAACTCCAATTAATTCCTAGACTATTTAGAAACTTCAATTTTTAACATTCATCAAAGTCCTTTAATTTTCCTTGATCAGATGAATCCGGAGCTTTTCGATCGTTCGGTGAAGTCACAGTTTTAAGCTGTTAAGTGCATTGTGGGCACGCTTCCCCAAAAACCCTAATTTCAATCATTTTTCATCAGAAATCATAATTCCTAGTCCTGTGTACCATTTATAACTTATTTCCAAGCCTACAGCTCATAATTCATTCGGCACGCTTTTAGGTGTAACTGTACCGTTGTATTTTTACCCAGTAAAAACACTATTCATCAAATTTTCATAAACTTGCCTAACCATTCAATTTTTCCTTTTGAATCCATTTCCAGGGTTAGTTTTCCCATTTGAGACCTTCTACTGACATTTCATTTCCTAGGGTTACGAGTTTGGCAATTTACTGTTTTACTCTTTTTACGTATTTTAGTTCTGAATTCATTATTTTCACTAATCATATCCTTTAATCCATATTTTAACTATAATTATAGTTTTTAGAATTACGAGGTGTTATAATTTTCACCTTACTTTCTAATCATATTTACCATAAAATATGAGCATATATATACATATGCTTTAATGTTTCTACTATGAATGTAAATAAGTTATCTACATTCACTCTCAAAACGACGTCGTTTTGAGTTGAAATTTTTTAAAATTATAATAAGAAAGAATATTATAACCCTAAAATAAATTATAATTATAAAAATACCTTGATTTTTGTCCCACAACGACGACATTTTGGGCTCAATGTAGATAACTTATCTATATTGATTGCAGAAAAAATGAACATATATATATATATATTGGATACATATGAGCATGATTTTATTCAAGAGTTCTCGGTAACAAAAAAGAAGAAGAAGGGTTAACCGATCTAAATCGGGTTTCGTTTAACCTACCGAGACTCGGCCGGATCAACTAGTACAAACTGAGTTGATTGCAGAACCGATCCAAATAGCCGCTCGGATCGAAAAACTCACTAGGTCATTGAGACCCGGGTTGACCCGGCCGGTCCGAGCTGATTTTTAAAACACTGCTGTGAATGCTTATTTCAGGTTGATTTTGATGGTAACAAACTATTGATCAAGTTTTAAGTCTAAAAGAATATTTTTTTGTAAGAATATTAAGTATATTATGTAAGCGATATTTCATAAGCATATTTAAATTATGGGAAAATATTTTCTTATGTTGTAAGAGAGTTTTTTTTTCCTATAAGTGATCCTTCGGTTTTTGTATTATATTTTCTTTTATTTTTTATTTTTGTTTTTAATATATGTGGTCTATAACATGGATACTTATCTTCTACCGCACGAAAAAATCAAAACCCTTAAATTATTTCATAAATTAAATGGTTGACACGAAAAAAAAGGTTTTGTATTATTAAAAAAACTAAGTTTCAAGACAAATATTTTGTCGAAATACCAAGTTTTGAAGATTCAATCAATTAAAGTTTGTCGATAATCGATTAACAAGTATTGTCATGTTTTGAATTCAGTCAATAGTTCACTAATCGACTTAATGGATGTTTTAATCAATTATTAAGCCTCCGTCAAGTTATGATACATCGACACTTCAAAACATCGAACATGCGTGTTCAACACTTCCTGATACTTCAACATGAGTTGCAAAGACTTAAAAAAGTGTTCGAAGGTTGCATTACGTTGCATTTTTAGTTCCAACTATTAGATTCGTTGAATTACAATTACTATTTTATTGAGTTTAATATAAATATTTGGAATATCTTATGTTTCTTTGTAAAATTGATGGATATTATAAGTTTAGTTTCATTTTTTGTTAAATTATTGAGTATTAAATATAATATACACTACATAAATTAAAAATATTATTTAATATTAAAATATGTTTTAACGTGTCAAAATTTCACATTATTTAGAATTAACGAGTTAAAGTGTCGTGTCGTATCCCGTGTCAGAGCCAAAATTTTATAAGATAAGCAATTTTATCAATTAGAGATAATTGATTAACTCGTCTTTGTTTTCTAACTGAGACCTCTTAACAGATTAACAGGTCAATTGTTCTAAATATTTGAAATTAATCAATTAAGATGTTATTTGATTGATAAACATGTTCATGATAAACTCAAAAACATTTTCCTTAAGGTTTTAATCAATTAACGGATTGTTTTAAATTAATTAATGCCTATTTTATTATAAACGTTAGTTTATGATTGCATTAAATGATCTCCAACTGCTTGTTTTTTATAAAATGGAATAAAAACACATCTTAGACCATTCATTACCACTCTAAGAACAGCCAATTATTTTTGAAAAGGCATTAAAATTAAAGAACATGTTAATCCCTTTCAATCTGTTTCCAGCATGTTGATTTCCTTAGGCAAACATGTAGAGAGTGATGCTCTCATGTCTTATTTTAACATACTCATATCATATGAAAGATCTCAGTCATTCATTCATAGATTAACGATTATAATTTTAATGAAGTTTTTAAAATGAGAAAATTAAAATTGTTAATATGAATGAACAAGCAAAACTTATTCATAACATCATCATGTTAAAACAAGACATAAGATCTATTCCGTGAAATACACACTTTATAGATAAGAATATTCTAATCATCTTTTGAGAAAAAAGAACCCAGGAATACAATTAATTGGCAACTCAATACAAAACCAGAGCATATCACAAGTTTTGATATTCTTTTTAGACAAAATGATGATAGTTTACTCATTCCACTACCATGTATACAAGAATTAGATGCAAAAAATAGTAATAATAAATAAACTTGACTTCAATAAAACAAATCAAAAGAATCTATAAAGGATATTAGCTATATAAGGCCATAGATCTTCAATGGTCTCACTGACTAGCATTCAGAAATCATTGAACACAAATAGCACCATCCATTTCTCTGACACCTCCTTGTTGTGTGGACTCAATCACTTGTGTGTTTGAGGTCTAAACCAAACTCTTCATCTTGATTTGAAGGCTCTAGTACCTCAAAACCAAACTCTTCATCTTGATTTGAAGGCTCTAGTACCCCTTCTAGTCCTCCATCTTTGAGACTCCTCAAAGCATGACTACTTGAGAAGGAAGCTTCTTTGGTATCCATGTTGAGCCAAGCTTCATGTAACTGCAAGACATACTCCAAGTGCCATAACACCTCCCCCATTGTGGGGCGGCTCTTCCCATCATCAGCAAGACATTTTTCTGCTATCTCCCCAAACTTAGACAAGGATTCTGGGCAACAATTTCCTCTAAGGTGTGTGTCAATAATTGTGTCAAGTGATCTTTGCCTTTGCCATCTCATTGCCCATTCTGCAAGATTGATCTGATCTTTAGGCAAGGTAGGATTTATTACAGCTCTAGCACAAACAACTTCAAACAACACAACTCCAAAGGAGTAAACATCTGATTTCTCAGTTAATTGCTGTCTTCTGAAGTATTCCGGGTCTAGATAACCAAAACTTCCTTTCACAGCTGTACTAACATGAGTATGGTCAAAAGCAGGACCATCTTTTGACAACCCAAAATCAGACATTTTGGCTACAAAATTCTCATCTAACAATATATTGGTTGTCTTCACATCCCTGTGAATTATTCCGCGCTCGGCTCCGGTATGAAGGTAATGAAGTCCCCTTGCAGCACCAATGCACACTTCTAGACGTTGCTTCCATGTTAATGGAGGGAGATCACTCCCAAATAGATGACTTCTAACAGTTCCATTAGCCATATACTCATAAACCAAGATCATTTCATTTTTCTCTTCACAGAAACCAATCAAGGACACCAGATGCCTGTGTCTGAGTTTGGAGAGCATCTCAATTTCTGTCTCAAATTCAGCTAGTCCTTGCTCAGATTGCGGGTTGGCACGCTTAATTGCAGCAAGGACACCATCATCAAGCTCACCTTTATACACCTTACCAAAGCCTCCGACTCCAATTACCAAACTCTCATCAAAATTATTTGTTGCAGCATTGATTTCAGCCAATGTAAACCTCTTGCCAACTCTGGTTGTTGAAGCCACAGATCCATATTGCTTTTGAGTTCCTGCTGATGTGCTGTTCAGTGCAGCCCCATATAGGAATAACGGTCGCCAACCCGGAGAGTTGTTCTTGGTATCACTTGATTCTTTCCTCCGGCTTTTGCAGAAACAGAAAACAAGAACAATTATAAGTGCAATTATAGCTACAGAAGCTAGACCTGCTCCAACTCCCACCCAAATAACTCTTGATTTTGATTTGCTTAATGAATTGCCATCTGAGTCATATCTCTCCACATAGGCAAGATTCCCATTTCGACTAAGCTTGAAAATCTCTAAACCATTCAAGAGAGCATCAGTTCCTGCAGCACCAGCAGCTGTATCAGGACCAAGTTGAACCCAAAGTGTGTCAGTCCTCAATGACAAGGAATCAAAATAATCTTGGTGATATGCTTTATTCTTCCCTCCTGCTCTTACAAAAATATCAACATTATCTGCAGCTGTTCTGTTGTTTATGTAGATCCTGAATATTCTCTCATTTGACTTATCATAAACCAGCTCACAGAAATGTAACCGAACCAAATAATCAAAATCAGGATCTACTTCAAATTTCCATGACATGTTAAACCTTTTGTCCAAGACTTCATTGTTAGACATTGCCCTTGCAGTTTCATACACAAGGAGAGGAGCCACTGAAGTATCATTGGGGGAAGCATATTTAATATTAGAACTGTTCTTCATTTCTGACCCAGCATTTTCTGTGATCATATAGCCAGAATCCACTTCCCAAGCTCTCCAAAGATCTAGATCCTCATTGGATTGAATCTCAGGGCCACCAACATTTAACCTATACATAGTCTCCATCCCGCGTCCAGTCAAATTTAAGTTTCCACCACTTCCACCAACTTTGCTGACTGAGCCAGCAAAAAGCTCATCCACAACTGGGACAATCTCAATGGCATTGATGAAGCCAAATGAGCTTCCAGTTGGAACAAACTCAATCACAAGCATATCTGCATTGATAGCCAGAAGATACTCTTTAACCAAGAAGAATGAACTAGAATTCTTCCCAGAATTCTGCAAGTTCATATTCTTGTGGGATATCTTACCTTGAACATCAAACTCTGACAATAGTTTGACACCATTGACCACAACACCAAATGAGGACTCATTTACATTGTAGTCCTCAGTCACAAAGGGGAAGAAATGGAACCTAACAAAATAGTTTCCCTGAACTTCTTTGATTGTATAATTTAAAGAAGCTGTGAAAATTCTGGCTGTTTTGTAGAGGGGATCATAGATTGAATTGCCACTTGATGTAGTAGAAGTGGAAGCAGCAACACCAGGGGAGCTGAGGGTGACATTGTTATTTGGGGCCATGTCCCCAATCCATCTCCTACCATCCACATTTACAGAAGAATTTGAACCACAATTTATGAGAAACGGCTTTGGTTGGGCCTCAACAGTGCCCACTGTCACCAGAATCAACATAATAAAGAGTCCCTCGCAAAGGACATTCCCCATTATGGTTGTTCCCCCAGTAATACCTTTGAATTATCTTCTAAGAAAAGAAGCAAAATTTGCAAAAGGGAAGGACAAAAAAAAACCAGAGACAAATGGAGAAGGCTAAATCAATAGAGACTCAGAAAGCCAACACTACTCAATCACAGAAACAACCTTGTTTTCCAAGATCTTGAACATGGAAATCAAACTCAACAAACCAGAAGAAGCACTCATGAAAGTAGAAGCCTTTACAGTTAACTATGAAAAACAATCTTCTGAGGCATGTGAATATCCTTTTTCCAAATAATGGGAGACACTAAAAAGAGTTGAAAAAGAAAACCCACCTCCAGTATTTGCATACACACAACAGCAATTCACAGATCTGAACTTGAAGGGTTAGGGACCATAAAATGGAAGAAGTGGGAATGCCCTATGATTGACAAAAAAAGACAAAAACTTTGATAACTTGTTGTGATAAGGAATCCAGAGAAAAAATACCATAAAAATCAGAGATGTCACCCAAAATGGGCTCTTTCAGTCTTTATCTGAATAAACAAACAAGGAAATCAGAACATGGGTGTGGTTGGAAACAGATTGGAAAAGTTTCATTTCATCTGTGCTTGGTTTTGTATCTTTTACAAGAAGCCAAGAATCTGACACTATCATTAAATTGGTACTTTATTGTGTTTTTAATTTTTAATTTTTTTTAATTTTTTTTTTTGCTTCTAACTGTTGTATCATAATTGGTAACAGTAGCATTGGATATCTATGAAAAGATTTTTATACAACAACTACCCAATTATATAGTAGTTTATTTATTAAATAAAAATTTATTATGATACAAATTATGTAAGGCCTTAAACTCTTTTGGACTAACAATAAATGAAAATTAAATTATAATTTTTTGTGAAGATTTTCTTTATCCTATAAGATTTGATGATTTTGAATTTGATTAGTATTTTGTTTTGAACATTTAATACGATGGCAAGAGCAGGGATGGATGGTGGGGTTTCAATTATTTGTTCGGTGGGTCACATGGCATTGTCCTACACATGCTGAACAAAGCAATTATTTTATTGGTATTCCCAAACTGACCCTGCTTTTTCAATCTATGTAAAGCATACGTACCTTGGTCATATGTTATTCCGTACTAAGAGTACCCTTCTTAGGGTCCTTGGTATTTTTGCTTCGGATAGTCAAATTGTGATCTCAGCAGTTATCCGGTTTTATCTAACCTTGACCAGAAAATTTTCTTCTGTACTCATTTGGGTACGTCCTTTTTTTATAAAAAGTAAAAAAAATTTCTCTTTAAACCTTTATTTTTATTTTTATTCTATCTCTATCCTAATTTTTTTTATCTTTTTTGGACCGATGCATGGTGCATCGGTAGTACTAAAGGATTGCTCCTTGACCAGAACCATGTTATGACATATTATTATGGGTAATATAAGTCTTAGTCTTGCAACAGGACATTTGATATGTTATATGGTAGAGGAAAAAATCTGCAATGTTACTGATATACTGAGTTTAGTATATTCCTAATTTATTTTTATTAGGATATAAAAATAAATTCTGGGATCTTAAAAATCTACCTACATATTCTAATAAAAATAATTAGAAATGCATTCAATTGCCCTGAAATTTTATTTGTTGCAGATATAAGAAATATGAGCCCATATTTAAAAAAAAAAAGAGAAGCAATAGTTTCGATGTTTCAGCTGGAAGAAAATAATTTGTCCAGCAACATCAGGGTCACATTGCCCTATTATTATGCTTACTTAAATCATTATCAGATTTAGCATTTTTTAATTTTACCAACATTGTAATTATCACTAGAACCCACATGAGATTGGTTCAATGAACAGTTGCACATTTTCAATTTTTTCCATACCTATATTGAAGTATTGTTCTTATTACAAGAATATTTTTTTATTTTTTCCCCGGGGAAAAGGGCATTTTTCTTTTAAATTCAACTATGGCATCAAAAGCGGAAAAAGAAATATCCATTGTACACTTCATTTTAGATATTAGATAAACTTGAATGTTATATTCTTAAAAGAGCAATTTGAGAGTGGCAAGATTTAATTGTTTGTAGCATTAGGGTGTGTATGACAATTATTTTGTTCTTAGGCATTATATCTGAAAAAAATAATTCTTTTTGTATTTCTATGCCTTGGAATAATTTTTGAGAAAAAATGTGTTTAATAACATGTTCTATTTTTATTTTGAGAATAAAAATTGTATTTGATAACACAATAAATAATAAAATAAAAAATAATTCTCATTAAGCATATTTTTTTTTTCGAATTATTACTTTTCTTTTCATATAGTGTGGTGGTGAAGGTTGTGGCATCGAGGTGGTGGCGGTGGCAGTGGCGATAACGTGGTGATGATAGCGGTGGTGGTGGTGATTGCAGTGGCTACGACGATGGTAGTGATGTGGTGGCATGGTGGTCATGGAAGTGGTTGTAGCATAGTGGTGGCGGTGGCGTGGTGGTGACATGGTGGTGGTGACGGCAGTGGCTAGAGGTGACAAAGGGGGCGGCTTGCCCGCCCCGCTATCAGTCCGCCAAAAAAAGAGTAAGCCCGCATTGCCCCATTTTTAAAAATGGGCTAAAAAACTTGGCCCGCTCCCCCCGTTTGACAAGCGAGGCGAGGCGGCCCGCTAACTTGAACTTATTTTACACGACTCAAATCTGTTTTACACTGACTCGCTTTAGCTCGCCCCTCCCAACCAGAAAATGAGTCTGCCCCGCTTTTCAGAGTGAGTTTTAAAACTCAGACCGTCGCTCCCTGTTTGCGGGCAGGGCAGGTCGATTCGTCGAGCGTAGCCTGTTTTGCCGGCTCTAGCAGTGACTACAGTGATAGTGATGATGGTGATGGCGGTGGTGGCGGCAACGGTGGTATGGTGGTGGTGACAGCAGTAGCTGCAGCGATGGTAGTGGCGGTGATGATAGCAGTGATTGTGGCGATGGTGGTGGTGGTTGGTGATAGAAAGTGATTGAGAGAGACAAATATTTCTCATTTTGTGTTCGAGAATAATTTTTTTCTGATCTCCTACACATAAATTAAATCGGTTCATGTTCGGAAACAAAAAATAAATCAATTTTGTCAAATTTCTATCCATTTATATTTCTGAAAATAAAAATTAAAAAAAATAATTTCAAAAAGATTATCATACATTCCCCTAGCATTAAGTCTAGTCAACTCTAGAACATGCTAGACACTTTGAATTATTAATAATTTAATGAGTTAACAAATATAACTGTGAAATTCGTCCCGTAAACTAACTAATTAATGGCGTTGGTTAAACAAAATCTTATCCATAGTGTAACTCTATGATTTATAAGTAGAGCTTGCATTCATTTCCATTACTATTAAGTCGATTCATTAGTTTATATATATATATATATATATATATATATATATATATATATAAAGAATTACTATAACAATAAAAAATTAATATACGTTAACATTTAATTTATAAATCCAAGCCTAATTTATTGATCTTAAAATCACAACCACATAATATTAAGGGTCTGCACATGTCATGTCTAAGGCAATAAAAGACAAATATTTATTATATTATTATGATTTCAATTATATTGGCACAAAATCTCAAAACAAAATAAAAATTTGAAAGATGTAACCGAATAATATCTAAGATCCAATATGAGCACACATCGGGGAAAAAAATTAATTTATTGTTTTTTTAATAAAAAATTACGAATAAGTAGTTGTTTTGAAATTAATTACGAAAATATAGCACTTAAACACGCCCCATCAGGGCGTGACCGGTTGGAGAGAGACACGCCCAATGTTGGGCGTGTTTCACCAGGTGCTGCCACGTGGCACAAAAGCCAACAGTTTGACCGTGAAACTTTGGAAGTCCATAACTTTTGACTCGGGTATCCGAATTAGGTAATTTTTTTTTGAATCCACATAACTTTTCGATATCTACGTAATGACACCTCATTTGACATATTTTGTCTCTCACAAAAAAAATTGAATTTACAATAATGATACCATAAGAACGTTTAAACAAAAATTAATGGACAGAAAACCACTATTATGATTAGAAACATTCATAATAAAGATCCTTATGATTATGGTAAGTTATGATAAGGTTAATTATGTATGTTATTGAGATATATATTAAAATTTTGAATGAAGAATTTTATGAAATTTATAATTAATAAAAGTTAACATCTGTCGATGACAGAATATCGAATAATTTATATTAAAAAGTTAAGTGAGTGCTTTTCGTTTTATTTTGATTTTTTAGTTTTTGTTCATGATTATAAAAATGTTAGATTATTTTTAGTAATAATTATAAGGTAACAAAGTCATGTCATTTTTAATAATTATGGTATCATTGTTGTAAATTCAAATTTTTTTGTGAGAGACAAAATAGGTCAAATTAGGTGTCATTACGTAGATCTCGAAAATTTATGTGGAATAAAATTTTTTTTACCTAATTCGGATACCCGAGTCAAAAGTTATGGACTTCCAAAGTTTTACGGTCAAATTATTGACTTTTGTGACACGTGGCAGCACCTGGTGAAACACGCCCAACATTGGGCGTGTCTCTCTCCTCGGTCACGCCCAACATTGGGCGTGTCTCTCTCCAACTTGGTCACGCCCCATGTGGGCGTGAGTCACGCTTAGGTCACGCCCAACATTGGGCGTGTCTCTCTCCAACCGGTCACGCCCCTATGAGGCGTGTTTGACTGTTATATTTTCGTAATTAATTTCAAAACGACTACTTATTCGTAATTTTTATTAAAAAAGCAATAAATTAATTTTTTTGCCCACACATCGGACGTTGTTAGGACATTTTAAATATTAATGTTTTTTAGAACAATAGGGTTCAAGGATAATATAAACTATGAAGTAGAACAACTAGGTTATAAAACAACTTTAGACAACTACTTGTAAATATCATAAATATTTTAAGGGTGCATTTTTTTTAAAATTATTTTAAAATTTTTTGTCTAATATTCATCTAAACGACATAATTTTGAGGTTAAAAAATTAGAATAATAAAAATTATTATAACCCTACAAAAACACTAAAAAAGATATTGGGTAAGTTTAATCCATCGCATAGCTGATTATATTTCTAACTATTAATAGATGATATCGTCGATGAGGATTGACACACTTGATTAAACCTTCCATTCATATGATGCACCGATACTGACATGGGATACGAGATATGACACGATATGCCGACACGTTAATTTTAAAAAATGTCATATTTCGATATGTTGGGACACGTTATGATATTAAAAAATATTTTTAATATATATAATATAATTTATATTTAATACATATAACAGCCCATAATAAGTCATATAAACAATCAAATATTCAAATTTCATAACATAAATATAAACAAAAATAATTTTTCGTATCTTGTTAATTTTTCACGTTAAATTTCATAACAGAAGAAATTGATTTATAAATTATTTTTTTATGTTTAGTTAATAAAATAAAATAGGATACTAATAAATAAATAAATAAAATTTAGACCTAAAAAAAAAATGTCGGAAACGTTTCGAAACGTTGACCGCGTGTCGAAAAAAGTTGACTGTGTGTCGGAACATGTCGGACGTTGACCCCGTGTTCTAAAATATTGATCACATGTCGAATGCGTGTCGGAACGTGTCGATGTCCGACACATGTCCGACACGCACAAATTAAAAAAAAAAACACTTGTTAGGTTCACATTAATCGTGACTTCAGTTTGATTATCAGATTTTCCTTTTTGTTTAAATGCTCAATGAAAATGGTTATTTTCTTTAACTTTTCATAGGGACTTGCCTAACCTTTTCCATTTATTTATTTTTTCAAAAAAAATACATCAAATAAGACTATATTATAGAGAATTAAATAATAAAAAATCACTCCATATTAAATCGTGACTAATAAGGATAAGAGTGAAGATAATCTTTTTAGAGAATTAAACAATAATCTTTAAATTGATGTCCCCCAATGAGCATTAATGTATTGATTTCACAACTTGAACGTAATATAAGACGTGATATCAACTTATTGAGTTCAAACAGATTGTGAATCTATGGGTGTTTGATAGGAGGTAATTTTCTTTTTTTCCTAAAACAATGGGATAGAAAAATTATTTGTCTATGTTTGGTAGGATAGGAGGTGAAGTAAAAGTAAGGAGGTGTTTAATATAGGAGATATTTTTTTACCAGGAACACAAATTTATCGGGAACATGGTGGGAAAAATTTGTTGCCTGGTAAGTTAAGAAAATGTGTTTGGTAGGATAAAAATTTTCCGAAAAAATTGAGTTAAATTTACTAATGTTATGTTTGGTTGATAGTAAAAAAATGATGGGAATGTTAATAAAGTTACGAAACTACCCATGAATAGGACTGAATCTCATAAAGTAAGGCTCATAAATAAGGATATTTTGGTGTTTAAAAATTGTTATAAGTTTCCTCCATCATGAGTAGTTTTATTTACCATGGTCTCAGAGGTCATCTTCCGATCGCAAACTATGTGGAAATTTTTTTGATGGGTTCAAAAGTTTCCGGCCACTGTTCTAACAAACCCTCCTACTAAACATGGCTAACCTTTTTTTTTAACCCGCAATTTTTTTTTTTTGCATCCTACCAAACGCCCCTTGAGTGGAAGTTTTTTCTCCATGTAATGAAAAAATTAACACATAACATCAGTAAAATTAATCCAATACTCTCGAAAAAAATTTAGCCTACTAAACACCTTTTAGTAACTTACTTGGAAAAAAAATTTCTCATCATATTCCCAGAAATTATTTTTTTCTGGTAAATTTTTTTTTCTTCTCTGTCAAACACTCACTTAAGGTAAACAACTCAAGGTAAGTTGAGCTCCAAGCCTCCAACAAATAGAACAAACTTGGTTTTTGGTTGAGCTATAGAGAATCAAACAACAAGCTTATTAAAAGCTTGAAACATGTTGGACATCTAGACAATGAACACAAGTTTATCCAATATTTATTAAATGAATTGCTCTAGCAAGTTATTAAGAAATCAACCGCACATCCTTGCATGGAACACAAACTACATGTCTCAGTTTAACAACATATTATTGGTGAATCAATCACTTTGCCTAACGGATAGCTTCAGATGTTCACAAACATCTGTAATTCAAGAAGATGAGTGATATATACACAATACACAATAGTGGTACCATTTTAAACACATAATTCAGTGAATGCAAAAGAAGGTCATACACTTATGCCAATAACACAACTATCCATCTAGAAACTAATAATAAACAAAAAAATACATATACAACTGCTATTAGCCCATATAGAAAACAAACTATGCATTACAAAGAGATGGCAAATTTGTGGTTTACTAGAGCCAACAGAACCCGGCATGTCTCCTAGTACGTATACAAAGCATTCGTGTATGGCAAAAATCAAAGGTGTGCAGCATAAATTGTTGATTCTTTTCTGTTGTTTTCCTCAAAATAATATCTGTTTAAGGAGTGTACAAAAACTCAGCCAGCTGAATGCAACTTTTGTGAACAAACTGTACAAACTCTTCACCTGTATCCATTAGAAGATTCAAACAAGAAATGGATTAATTTGCACATACTGCCCCTCAATATAGTATTAAACAGAGAACAACATGGACTAAAATAATTCATGTAATAGTGTTGCCTCTGTTCTGCACAGATTGACATGAAAAGAGTACTTAGAAAAACATGAAAAAGAAAATGCAACTCCCAGAACACTTAATATCTCTGTATAGATGAAGGTGATATAAAGATGTAAATAATGAACCAAGTAGTACCATGATGGTGCTTCCTAAAAATTTACTTGTGATTCTCCACATCCAGTGTTTGATCATGTGGGGAATCATGGATAATGATTTTCTTATGAATGCTTCTAGGTTTTATCAATGTAGAGCATTGAAAGGTACAGTTTGCGTCAACAGTGTCAGTCAATTTACCTGGCCAGAACATACGATTAAAAAAGTTTCCTAGACCATGCACTCAGTTCTCTTCTTACAAGCTCCAGAATCTCAATAATCTGCAAAATCAATGGCTAATTATGGAAACAGTTTTATATTGGGGCTTATGGAGATCAAGCAGTATATAATATTTTATTCATGAATATAAAATAACATCAATTAACCTTCATCATGAAGACAAGATTAATTAAATTGGACATACACAAGCTGCAAAGAAAATTACATGCTATTGTGTTGTTTCTTTTAAGTTACATTTCACAAATCTAATCGGACGTTGAAAACAGTAAAAACTTCCACATGTAGCTTTTTCAGTAGCTATCTAATCAGATACAATTCTTAGCTGAATGTTGGTGTTGAGTTAGTAGGCTAGCTTTACACAGTTCTATTTGTACTAATACTACAAAGTTGGACATTACAACTATTGTTACACTAACAGGTTCTTCAAAGCCTATTCTTTTATATCATATTCCATGGAATGAGGGATTCCCATGTTTGTTAGCAACAAAAAAGCCTTCCATTCCAGGTCCAATTCTACATAACTAGGAATATGATAGAAACTGTATCACAATAAGCAAAAATGATGTATTATCCAACTGCAGATACCTATATCAGTGTGATATCACTAAATATGAGATGGATTTACAACGGAAAATGCAGAAATAACCTCAGAACAAGATACCGGGTAATTCTAGAGGCCCAGTACTCTCCCACTAACTTTTACCCATTTCCTTTCATGACAAGCCATAACAGAATTTCCTCCCAACTCCACCATTGCCACGCTGGCACTTGATTATTTTAGTCTTGCCCATTCTTCTATGCATGCCCTGACCCTCTACATCTCTTCCTAACAAACATCTTGGTAATAGGTGGTTTCCTAAAAGAATGGAGCATGGAATCTCATTCCCTCCTAGAGAGGCAGGATTTGGATTCCATATTTCATGCAATGAGATTTAATTTTTCCTTTCCCAATATTCCCCAATTTATACAAAATGACTATTAATACCCATATTAAATTTGTGCACACATCAATTTTTCTCATAAACGAAACATTTCCTATACTTTTTTTAGCAAAAACATTTTTTATCAAGTAGAAAATGTCAACTTGAGAATTATTCCCAATAATATACCATTCATGTATTCATATCAAGTGAGAGGAGTGGTTTATTATGATAAAAAAAAGCAAATGTTAACCATTAAATCTTACATGAATGGTCAAGATTAAAATGTAAAGTCATGCAACTTGATGATGTTGATGATGATATGACTTCTAAGTAACTTTTATTCTTGAATATTCATGTATAGTATAATGATCAAAATTTGCTCTTCTCACAATAATTAAACTACTCTTCTCGCTACACACGACCACACACACATGTGATAAAAGTTTCAACATCAACATCAACAACACCTTTATCCCAAATTAATTGGGGTCGGTGGTAGATGAACCCACATGAAAGATACAAAACGGTTGAAAAAATAAAATAAAAATAAAAATAATAAAAAAAAAATTAATAAATAAATTAATAAATAAATAAAAATACACAAATAAAATAAAATAAAAATATATGTATATATAAATAAATAAAAGTAAAAAAGAAAGGGACAAGAAGAAGTGGGGGAAATGAAGGGGAAAAGGACTAGAAAGGGACCATCTGGAACATAGGAATAACAGCGGGTCTAACCCTCCACCATACTTATAGCTTTTCTCCATTCCTTTCTAAGACATACTGTCTGCCAATCTATATCCCACTCCATTAAATCTTGTTTTACTACTTTCCCCCAAGTAAGCTTCGGCCTACGTGATAAAAGTTTAACCTTTTTATTTTATTTTTCTCATGAGGAGCATTTATATCATTTATCTCAAATTTGATTTCATTCCACATTGACTTCATGTACCAAATTCCATTCCTAAATCTTCCAAACTAAGGACTGAGAATAGCTATTCCATTAGCCCATTCTATTCCATACCCATTCTATTCCATACCCATTCTATGGAATTATCATTTAGTGTACAAAAAAGCGCCACCAGAGAAAAGAGACATAACATCTTATTCCCAGAATAAGGTATCTCTCTAGATCCTCCATATTTTTCTACATGGTCTCAATTGCAAGGAAAAACAAACCATAGTTTTCCCATTTGGTAAGCTTTGTTCACCTCCACCAATGTCTCTCCTAGTGTGCCCTAACTTCCTTGATTGTGTTGCTTTTTCCCCTTCCCCCTTTAAAGTCTTTTTCTTTCAGTTTCAAAGTCAAATTGAGGTTCTCTTTAAACGTTTTTCTGTTTTGAGCAACAAAAAAGAAAAAGAAGAGAAAAATAGGATAACAAAATGAATATCTGTCAGTATTGACAGCAATTAGGTGAAGTTAAGAGTACATTGTTGTCTATTGAAAAAGAAAGCAAGCCAAGGAACAAGAGTTCTAGTGATAGTGAATAGGACATAAAAAATATAATATTAAGCCCATGAAAAAATTGCTTTAAGATTTTCAAATCTCTCGAAACAAAAGATAAATTTTGTCATTTTCCTTCATCAGTGTTAGGTCAAGTATTCATTGTCTCATTATGGAAAGGAATAGTACCTTTCAATATCCATAGAATAATTTTACATCCGTAAGGAAAAATAATCAGCAACATAAATAGACTCTTTATAGTAATATCAAATCTATAGGCATTATACACACTTGAATTACATACATTAAAAAGAGGTGTAGAAAGGGAAAGATTCTCACCCCGGGGTAATGCTGCAATATCGGTGAATAATGATCAAGTGCAATGTATATTTTTTCAAGGAGGCTAAGAAGAGTATCTACCTCATCCCCCAAAAGATCAACCTGAAACTCCAGTAAATACCAACGTAAGTACTTTAGGTCAAAATATATACAGGGTCAATCTCTAGACAGTATTAAAATAGAAAAAAGGTAAAATGAAAATAATGTTCTCCCAGTGAAGTTTAGATATCATGCAAAGTTGGGTATCAAACCATATACCATGGTTCACCAAAATTTAACAGCATAAGGCTGAGACATAGGCCTTTGATTTGCAATCTAGTCCCCCCCCCCCACAAGCATCCTGGTGAAACCATTAGGTATCCTCACAGGTTTGGCCCATTTGCATTGTTGTTAAAACGTAGTGTCAACTCGTAGAAACGGACGAGTTTACGTTTTTTGGGGCAAAAAACATGTCGAAAAGGTAGTAGAAATGTAAAATGAGCTGACTCGGTTGAAACGACGAGTCAACTCGATAAACTCGGTTGACGAGTTTACCGAGTCGACTCAGTACTAAAACCAAAAAAAAAAAAAATGGAAGAAAGGGCTCGTCTCCATCTCCGTGGGTTATTATGTACAATAGCTCACCCATGTCTGACACCCACGACGACCACAACCTCGAGCCGCCGCCGGAGTTTCTGCTCAGTCGTCCACCGCTGCTGATACCATCGTCTGTGCCGCTTTACAAGCAGTGATCGTGGTCGCCAGATCTATACCACGACGAGGCATGGCTCCGCCGCAGAGGGAACTAGAAGAACAGTCACAACAAGAGCGAGAGGACTTTGCAAATATCAGCTTTCAACCTTTCTCTCCATCTACACACCATTCCTTTATTTTATTATTAATTTTTTTTTATGCACGATGGTACCTACTAACTTAAGCTAGAAAGTTAGATATTCATATTATATATCCCACCTAACTCTTATTTTATTATTTGTTTTGCTCCTTTGTTAAACTATCTTCGTAGGATCCAACCTTTTGTCCATCTACATACAATTTTCTTTATTTTATTATTATTTCTTGGTTAACATGCTGGCACCTTTTGAATCAAATTAGATATTATATATTCCACCCACTTTATATTTTATTATTTGGTTCGCTTCTTAGTTTCATTTCAACAGACATTATTATTTATATTAAGTGATTATATATATTGTGATTTATTTCTATTCAACTGTGATTTATATTTTATATTCCACCTTTTTATTATATATTTGATTATATATTCTAATCATTATTCATGGCTCCTTCATAATGATTTTGATAACTATAAATATATGTTAAATATATATGGCATGTAGTAAACTCTTACGTTTCGTTTACGTTTCACGATTTTACGTTTTTGCTAACCCCTACCGTTTCTACGTAGACTCTACGTTTTAACAACATTGCCCATTTGAACCACCCATAGACAAATCCTCATTTGACTGCAAGAGCATGATGGTTATGCAATCTCGGCACAATAGTTGCTTCCCTAAGATTCAAACTTAGGTTCTCATCCCAAGTGGTCAAGAGTTAAGACTACTTACCCCCTTGACCCATCCATTGTAGGTCCACAAGCAATATCAAATAAGGATATTTAAGGGCATTGACATCCATTGGAACAACAATACGTTATGACTTATGATATGAGGTTATAACATCAAGTAAGATACACAAATGCATATGACTAACGCACTGTTTCCAATTGCATAGCAAAAGCAAAAAAGATAATAATGTAATGTTTCTGATTACATACCTCTTCTTCAGCCTTTGCAAGATCAGAACATCTTGTTTCCAGCCTTTGCTTGTACACCAATCCCATAGTTTTAAGTACATTGGCTTTGTTATTGAGGCAACAAAACTCAGAACACATGTTTTCAAGCCTGAAAAAATGATTACATATATGATGACTTAGTTCTGACTATAATTGCCAGAAGAATTTCAAATTGAATTAAAAGAAAAAAATGATTTAAAATTGCTTGTTACAAATAATGATACAAAATTAAAATATATTGGTTTCTTCCAACAAAATTTTCAGGCTGTTAAAAGTATAACAAGGCCAGTTTGAAAGCAAATATGAGCTTTTAACAAAAATCTTTCCCGCTCACATGACACCATTTCTGGAACATGTAGTATACCTCCAGCTTGCAGAACAATCTGAAGGAATTTGTCACAAGAAAGAATAAATATAATATGCAGCACATGCTAATAGTTTTAAATTTGGCTTAAAATTCAAAAAAGGTTTACAACAAAAATAACTATGTTAATTCCAAAGTATTCCTTCAAACAATTAGATGGACATCACATTCAGAATAATCCAAAGGTAATCCCACACCAGATGCACTTGCTGGTTTACATAAGCTTAAAAAACTTCATTATTGATAGAAGACCACATAAAATAGCTTAAAACAGAGAAGCAATCATAGAAACAGTAATTAATCATAAATTCATGTGACACTAAATTATAAAAGAAGAGCCTTGACATAATTATTGCATACCTCAAACAATTTCTTGAAATATCTTCATTTACTCTAGCTTCAAAATCAGTAAACATAGTCAACAATTTATGGATGAGATGAATGGTTGATTCCATTTGCTTCCTGCTTTCACTTTCTTTTGCCTCAATCAGTTTTAATGCATCTTGTTGCTCTTGTGTAACAGCACAAAGTACCCTTCTTTCTTCATCAATTTCTCTAAGCTTGTCCGTTCTTTGTTCAAGATTTTGATGTAACATGTTCATTTTGTCTTTGAATTGTTTGATTTCCTTCAGTGCTGCAACCAGGTCACCCTTGGTGACTTCCAACTCTTTACTGTTCTCTGCAATTAATTTATGTTGCTGAACTGTCTTAGCTCTCAAACTGTTAAGCTGTTCAGAGGCAAACTCCATCTTTTGCTGCTCTTGAACCAAAGCATCTTCTACTCCTTGTATCAACTTTTCCTTTTCATCCACTAATGATGTCAACATAAGTATTTCATGTTTTAGCTCCTCTTTCTCAGCAGCTTCCAATTTTAACGCTTTGTTCACATCCACCAAAGCTTCTTTAAATATAGTATGATTAATATCCAACAGCCCTTGCATCATAGTTGACTCCATATCTTCTTCCTCAGTTTCCAACCCACTAGAAGCTTGAGCACTGTGAACAGTTTCTTTGAGTATTATTTCATATATTTCTTCCATGAAGTTATTCTTCAGATGTAATTCTTCAGTAATGCATCTAAATTCACTCCAAATATCTTCAAAAAGACATTTATATACATCTTGAATAATTGAAACTTCAGCATGTTCATCCCCTATATCATCCTCAAGCTTCTGAATAGTTTGTAACAAGTTTTTCTCAGTCAGTTGTTGCTGCGACAATTTTTCAACAGCAGCAGAAAGCTGAGAAGATAGACTCTTAAACTCCTTCTTCTTATCCGTTAGCATGTCCTTCAGTTGATGATTCTCAGAGCGTAAGAAATCCAATCTATCCTTTACACTGCTAAGAGATTCAACGTTTTCACTGAATTGATGCACTTCCTCATTTCTAACGAGGATTTTATCCAATTTTGAGATGACATCAGGGATTTTTTTCTTCAACAAATCAAAGTCCTTGTCCTTCTTCAAAGGAAAAGAAGAACCTCTTTCTTTCAAATTCAATAGTTCCCGCCTAAGGCGAAAATTTTCTTCAGTCTTCTCTTGCACCTGAGATTCATGGTTTCTTCTCATCTTAGTTATATAAGTAACCAATTCATCTCTAGACATGCTCTTTAGTGAGCCAGAATCCAGATTCTCAGGCTTGTTAATCTTCGAGTCGTCCTCTTTCCCATTTTCTTCCAAAGTTGAAGGTGATGAATGATCTGTTGAAAGCTTCACGTGGAAATGATCAGCCCTCTTATTATGACACCATTCGTCACTATTCTCCAAGGATCCATGAGAAATAAGCTGCCCAAATTCCGAAACAGATAGTGTTTTAAAAATTGAATCCAATTCCTGACGCAAACTTGAGATTTCTTTATGATGGCTAAAACAATTTCTACTTTCAGAGTCACAAAGGTCCCATAGTTTTTGTTCAAACTCCTGCTGCAAACTCCAGATACAATTTCTGATCACCATCCGTTCAATTTCTGTTCGAAACTCCTGCTCCTCTTGCCATTCAGAAAGTGACGCCTTTGATAACTGATCCATAACTTCCATCCTTCTGCATAAAGTGTCTAGAGTATCTTTTAGACTTTCAAAAGTTTTATCGACATAAATCCATCTTTCCGGCACATTCTCCTCCAGAATACCACTTAAACCCACCAAATCAGAACCTGAACTAAATCTTTTGATGGAACTAGTCTCTCTTATTTTATTTATTTCTTTCTTCAGCTGCTTTAACCGCTCATGGACTTCAATTTGAAGATTATCCACAGACTTTATAAGTCTATCGTGCTCTGTGACACTATCCGTAAAATGATGTGTAGCAGCTTCATGGGGTTCATGATAATGTGCCAGAGACCTCAATGTTTTAGTTTCATCTGAACCTAGATGACAATTATGCAGTATTTTCTTTAGCCCAACCACCTCCAATTCTTTCTGAGCAATTGTCTCAGCTGCCTGTTCCTCGACAGCATTAACCATGCCCTTTATGACAGAGTCACTCACCATCCTAGAGATGGCCAAACTTTCATCAATATCCAGAAAAAAGGACTCCATTTCCTCAAGTATATGATCACCCAGTCTCTCATTTTCCTCACCATTATTACAAGTCCTTTCACCACCGTTCGTAACAGCAAAGCTCTCCATCATCACTATACTCCTTTACAAACAAGAATCAGCAGTTTAAGGCCATTCAAAACACAAGGTCAAATCGAACCCTCAAATCAGCACACTGCCAGAGTTAGAAACATGAAAAATGATTAGACTAACCAAACAGAGCCAGAAAAAACAAAAACAAATATGCAAAATAAAACTCACTACATTACTTGTTTATAATTAGTACATGATTCAAACTAAACAAAAGGGGACCCCAAAAAAAAAAAAAAAAATCCAAACTTTACTCATCCCTTTTACTGTTATTCACTTCCAAAATCATTGAAGCGGAATTCAATACACTGGAGCAAACCCTTCATAATTTCTTTTTCCTAACATACTTTTTGAACCAAGAATGACCCAGTAGCTAAAAATCAAGCTTAAGTGGCAATTCAGGCCAAAACAGTTAGAGCTCCAATGCAAGGTTGAAGCTCCAACAATAACTTCAAAACTCGGGAAAAAAAAAAAGACAAAATCTTCAACAGCATCAGAAACTCACCTGTTTGAATAAATCCTCCACGCTACTATGTTGAATTTCCCAATAAGTTAACGGTCAAAAAAAAAAGAAAGGAGTTCGAGAATTCCGAGGTAACAGCTGAAAATGTTTGGAAAGAGCATTGCTTACGAGGTACGAACGGCTGTGTTGAATCCTCGTACTGGATTCTTAGGGTTTAGCAGAAGATGAAAAAGCTTGCACCAACAAAGATTTTGTGAGAGCGGGAGTGAGGTGATTATAAATTATACCCCCTACTAACCCCGAAATTACGGGGCCTACCCTTTCTTGATTATGTATTTGGAACGGTGACCAAAATGTCACTGTTTACCAATTTTTTTTATCTAAATATCACACGAACAGTGTTATTTTTCAATCTGCAACGGGGAAAATTCGTTACGGGGTGTAGCGAACTCGGTGTTTGCTGACGTGTCATGTTTCTAGTGGACACCAACTTGATTTTAACCAAGTTCGCCTACATGGTAGGCGACCTTCATTTTTTTTTATTATTATTTTTTTAAAATTTGATACTTGTTATCCACTAAAAATGTGACACGTCAGCAAACCGAGTTCGCTACACAGAGTAGCGAACTTGCCCCCGTGGCATATTGAGAAATAACACTGTTTGCGTGGCATTTAGGTAAAAAAGTTGATGAACAGTGACATTTTGATCAGTGTTCTTTATGTATTTATCTTTCTAATATCAAAATCATCCTATCAAATTACAAATAACATTTATTGTATTTTACTATGGGAAATTGTAATGTTGCATTATATTCATTTCTTATGCTACACTCACATAAAAAAATATGTTTATTTTTTTTTAAGAAAAAAAATAATAGGCCCCATTTTATTTATATCATAATATAAGATAGAGAGAAGTAAAACCCTTTTACTATATCTTGTTAAAGAATTTTTTTAGGTCAATACTTATGAGTATTTATTCTATTAATATTTTAGATTAAATTGGTGTTGGAATAGACATAATATCTCTCTCTCACTCAAACACACGCGATGGAAATCAAATAAGAAAAAGAAAGAAAGAAAGGAAACAAAGCGCGGACAATGGTTTATCGAGTTTCACTCAATGTTGATTATGTCCAACAATATGCATTATATTCTTCTTATTGTACTTGTTCCAAGTCACTTAGTTTATAATGAGAATATAAATAGAATTAGAAACTCTAAATAACATTAGTTATTAATGAGCCCAAATCCAAACTACTAAAAAAATGAGCAAATAAAATAAGTCAGTGGCCCTCAATAGAACTAGGCCTCTGCGGTCTTGGGAGCGCTGCCCCTACACCCTTGTCAGGACGGCTCCCCTACACCCTCGCCTGCCCACTAGCTTTCTCTATGTCCCACCAACAAGAGTCATCATCTGAATGCCAAGCATGAGTCATATCATATTTTTTTAATTACATTGTGTTATAAAGTACACTATTATGATAATAAAAGCGAAAGTTATATATATGACACCATTGATCTTTTTTAATCTAACGACTCTCAGATTAGGTGTCAAATTTTAAATTTGACGCTGGTGTCAAAGGATCCTGCCTCATATATATATAGAAAAAATGAAAATAAAGTGACTGGATGGTCCGGTGCACTCTAAGTAACAAAATTACTCACCCAATTTTTTATTGTAAGGAAGAAAAATGAGATCTAACACATTCTACTATAGTAAGTAAGAAATACATTATTAATTAACATTTATATTTATATATAAAATGAGACGAGATCGATTGTAATAAAATAATAAAAATTACATAAATATATATGAATATGAAATGACGTAATATGTGTATAAACATTAGGTAGATGCCTTCCATTTTATGTATTAAGAGAACAAATTGAAGGAAAGGACATTATATCGTTAACTTTTATAAGAAAAATAATGACCATAAAAGTATTATAAGGAGATTATATTATATTACTAGTAAAGATTTAAATTAAGAATTTACAATGTACCAATTGCCCCCACAAGACAAGCAAACCAATTATTAGATTAATTAGCAATCATGCACATCATCATTCATCATGATCGCCATGTTTCTTTTACCTTTGGAACCTTTGACTTCTCTCTCGATAATTCCAACTAATCAGAATTTGGATAGTAAAGTAAGATGCTTTTGGAAACTCCTCTATCATCCTAAAATAAAGATTAAAACCGACGAGGGAGAAAATAGAGCACAACCAATCTAATATAGTTTAATGGGATGTATCTCCCTTCTAAAAATTGTGATATTTATAATGGTTATTGGAGAAGACTACGATACAGGTTTTGTACTTTTAAATCATTAAATTTCAAAAATAGATTATGATCGGAAATTTAAATTTTAAAACAATTTTATATAGAAAAATAAACTAATAAATTAAAGTCTTCTCCATCAATAGAAAATCTATATAAAAACAATCTTGTATCAAATACATGTGATATTAAAATATTAACAGGACAGACTGATACCACGTGCTCACAAGACACCATATTTTCATTAATAATAAAAGCAATAACGATAACAACAATAAAAAATTGTATTCCATTACGATCATTACTTAATCACAAAGTAAGGGGGGAGAAACTGTACTAAAAAAAGAAAGGGGGAGAAAAAAAAATTAAAAGCAGGAAAAGCATCTTAGAGAGTTGCCATCATCCAACCTGTCAGGGAATAAAAAGTTTTTTTTTTTTTATCCAAAGGTTTTATGATGTACTAGCATAATATGAGTGGTGTGGGGTGTGTGTGTTAGGAGTGTGTGTAGTGTAGGGTGTTGTGTTCAATTCCTTGTAACCTCCACAAAAAAAAGCATAATATGAGGGAAAGTTTTCAAGTGACCGCGATGAACCATCAAATTTTTCGTCGAAAAAATATTTATTATTTTAAATAACATAATTTTATATAATTTAATTAAAGATGTCATTTATGTGTATATTTAATGATTTTTTCATTCTCCTTCTTCCATAAAATTAGGAAACGAGAGAAAGTAAAAGAGATAAAATATAAAAAACACCAATTATATACGAAAACAACATCATTTCATTTAAAATGACATAAAATTATGTCTTTTAAAATGACAGATATATTTCTCATTTTTTGTTTATATCAATTAATTATTGAATAAATATTTAAATTTGATCAAATAAATTTTCTTCAATTAATTACATAGACCAACTAAGACCATGGAGATTGATCATAATAGTTTTTATATATTGTGATATTTTTGGATTAGGATTATGAGCTATAATTTATATTTGTGTCTAGATGATTATGAATTTTGTGATGGTTTTATTCTGGTCATGTAAAAATCTTTTTGTTATCATAATGTATTCTATATGTTCTAGTTATATATGATTTGATTAGAACATTAGTATCCTTCTGATTACTATTATTACACGTGTCTTCTGATCCCCGTTATTGTCGTTATTAGCACACACTGGCCATTTTACTAACAATGGTTTTTGGGCATATTTGCACAATTTGACAACATAAATTACTTCATTATCCAGATCGCAGAAAATAACAATTCCATAGTTCTTTTCAAAGTGATGGAACCAAACAGTAATAAGTTATAATTGAATTGGATATTAAAGTTAACATATCAAGCCATCCATGAGATGGGACAACATTAAACTGAAAAGCATGGTTGTGATGATAAAACATAATTGAAAGCTTGGTAAATGATAAGTAGAACTTAATGGTTATCAAAGTATTTGAAGACTTAATAAGATTGTCTAATAGGAACTTTTCTCTTCATATAATTTTTTTTAAAAAGAAAACATAGAATTCATTGAGGATAGATATAGCAAATCACATTGATAACATCCATCGTTAAAGAAAGCAATGATCCAAAGGTGCAGATAAAATGCAAGGAAGAAGGATGACTGAACTAATTTAACTCTCACACGTGGATTCTAGTTTGTTAACTTATCAGTTGTAACTAGAGTTAGTTTTCTGTTGTTAGATTAGTCGGAGTTAGTTTGTTGAGTCAACTTCTCTTTAGTTAGTTGCTTTCTGAATTAGTTCTTTTTCTTCTTTGGATATATATATACCAGGAAGAATCACATTTACCTGTATCTTTCAATTTTATCTTTCAATCAAAAGTTTCATTCTTGTTATGGTATCAGAGCTTTAAGCTCTGGTGCCACCATTTTCCGCTGCAACTTGTGATCAAACGAACATGGCAAATCAAGCTGTTCTTCTAGATTTCCTCACGAATCCAGGAAATCCTCTTTTCCTCCATTCTAATGAAAGTCCAGCGCTGGTATTGGTGAGTCCAATGCTTGATGGAAGAAACTACCATAGCTGGGAAAGAGCTATAACGATGACATTGCTTTCCAAAAACAAATTAGGATTTGTGGATGGAAGCATTCAACCTCCTCCAATTGAAGATCCTTCGTTCAGTGCATGGCAAAGATGTAATACTATTGTGCTCGCATGGATTCATCGTTCCATTAATGATTCCATTGCGAAATCAATACTCTGGATCGATAGAGCTCAAGATGCATGGATAAATCTCAGAGACAGTTTTCAACAGTCTGATATTTTTCGTGTTTCAGACTTGCAAGAGGATATCTACAAGATGCAACAAGGAGAAAGATCAGTAAGTGATTTCTTTACTTATGTGAAAAGCATGTGGGATGAATTAGACAATTTGAAGCCCCTTCTTAGCTGTAGATGTGATAATCGGTGCTTGTGTGGTGGATATCAGCAAATGAGGCAATATAGAGAAAGAGATCATGTTATAAGGTTCTTGAAAGGATTGAATGAACAGTATTCTCATGTCAAATCCCAGATCATGTTGTTGGATCCCTTTCCAAATATTAATCGAGTATTTTCCATGATAATTCAACAAGAAAGGCAAATGTTGATGGAAGGACAACCTGATATGACAATTGAATCCAAGACTTTCTTCAATAATTCTGATAAAGGAAGAGGTCGTGGAAACTTCACACAGGGAGGAAGAGGTCGTGGAACTTATGGTCAAGGACGTGGATCTGGTAGATTGTGTACTTTTTGTGGGAAGCAGAACCACACTGTTGACACATGCTATAGAAAGCATGGATTCCCTCCTGGTTTAAAATTAAAAAATGCAACAAACTGCATTTCCTTAAATGCTGGTGTAGAAAATTTAACTCCAGATTTCGAAGGATGTCAAAGA